TGCAGCGTGGGCGTACCCGGTTTTTATTACCGAACACAATTTGGCGAACTATTCGGCTAGCGACCTATTCGACCGATCCAGCTGGCAACCTGTTCGTTGGCAACCTATTCAGAATAAATTCAACAGTCGCCCAAACTCATCTATTTTTATCAACCAATCAAATCCAACGTTACGTCTATCAAATGAAAGTAGAATATATTATTATTTATCCATTCCTTTAGCCCAGAATAGAGATGTATTTTCGCATTATCTTACAAAATTCTGGACATCCAACTAAATATATTCCGAAAGGTAAATAAATAAGCTTTCCAAATATTATTATTAAAAGTTGGCACAGTCATATTAAAGCGATGCACTCTCATCCTAAACATGGCCAATTTTGAAAAAAAAATTAAACGGAAAGACTGTTAATGTTAATATCCCGTGTCAAAATTCTGATAATCCACCTAAACATATTCTAAAAGGTAATTGAATAAGCTTTCCAAATCTTATTAGTAAAAGTTGGCACAATCATATTAAAGGGGTGCGCTCTCAACCTGAACATAGCCCATTTTTCAATATTTTAAAGTGAAAGAACGGTAATATTCCGAGTCAAAATTCGGATCATCGTACAAAATTCTGAGCATCGGGCTATATATATTCTGAAAGGTAATTGAATAAGCTTTCTAAATATTATTAGTAAAAGTTGGCACAATCATATTAAAGGGGTGCGCTCTCATCCTAAACGTCGTCCATTTTTCAATATTTTTAAAGTGAAAGAACGGTAATATTCCGAGTCACAATTAGAACCATCGTACAAAATTCTGAGCACCCAGCTATATATATTCTGAAAGGTAATTGGATAAGCATCCAAATATTATTAGTAAAACTTGGCACAATGATATTAAAGGGGCGCGCTTTCAACCAGAACATAGCCAATTTTTCAATATTCTAAATGTAAAAAAAGACCTGTATTTTTTTCGAAGTCCATATTCGGATCATCGTACAAAATTCTGAACATCCAGCTATATATATTCTGAAAGGTAATTGATTAAGCTTTCTAAATATTATTAGTAAAAGTTGGCACAATCATATTAAAGGGGTGCGCTCTCATCCTAAACGTCGACAATTTTTCAATATTTAAAAGTGAAAGAACGGTAATATTCCGAGTCAAGATTCGGACCATCGCACAAAATTCTGAGCATCTAGCTATATATATTCTGAAAGGTAATTGAATAAGCTTTCCAAATATTATTAGTACAAGTTGGCACAATCATATTAAAGGGGTGCGCTCTCATCCTAAACGTCGACAATTTTTCAATATTTAAAAGTGAAAGAACGGTAATATTCCGAGTCAAGATTCGGACCATCGCACAAAATTCTGAACATCTAGCTATATATATTCTGAAAGGTAATTGAATAAGCTTTCCAAATATTATTAGTACAAGTTGGCACAATCATATTAAAGGGGAGCGCTCTCAACCTGAACATAGCCAATTTCCGTTCTTTTACTTTAAAATATTGAAAATTTGGTGACGTTTAGGATGAGAGCGCATCCCTTTAATATGATTGTGCCAACTTTTACTAATAATATTTAGAAATTTTATTCAATTACCTTTCAGAATATATATAGCCGGGTGCTCAGAATTTTGTACGATGATCCGAATTTTGACTCGGAATATTACCGTTCTTTGACTTTAAAATATTGAAAAATGGGCTATGTTCAGGTTGAGAGCGCACCCCTTTAATATGATTGTGCCAACTTTTACTAATAATAATTGGAAAGCTTATTCAATTACCTTTTAGAATATATTTAGTTGGATCCTCAGAATTTAGTAGGATGGTCCGAATTTTGACACGTGATATTAACGGTCTTTCCCTAAAAAAAATTTTTTCAAAATTGGCCATGTTTAGGATGAGAGTGCACCCCTTTAATATGACTTTTAATAATAATATTTGGAAAGCTTATTTAATTACCTTTCGGAATATATTTAGTTGGATGTCAAGAAATTTGTAAGATAATGCGAAATTACATCTCTATTCTGAGCTAAAGGAATGGATAAATAATAATATACCGGTAGATGTATTCTACTTTCATTTGAAAGACGTAACGTTGGATTTGATTGGTTGATAAAAATAGTAGTGTTTTGGCGACAGTTGAACTTATTGTGAATAGGTTGCCAACGAACAGGTTGCCAGCTGGATCGGTCGAATAGGTCGCTAGCCGAATAGGTCGCCAAATTGTGTTCGGCTTGTTTATTGAACCCACAAACTCCACCTCGAATCCGGGTGCTAGAAACTCTAAGGTGGTATAACTCGATACGCCAACATAGAAAGTTAATGAAATTGGGCATGTGCATACCTTATGCATCTGTCGATTTAATGAAATAAAGATATTGAAGCCACCAAAGCTAGTTTAGAAATTATTGCGTGCGCAGTCAGCCTAGCCCAACCCGATTCCGCCATATGTTTAGTATGTTTACGGTAATATATCTCGAAACGCCAGCATAGGAACCTTCTGAAATTTTGTATTCTAGTAGTTTATTCATCTCTTGATTCCGTAAAACAAAAAACATTTTCCCACCAAAGCGGTTTGGGGTCGTTTTTTGATGCAGCGGGGCGTACCCGTTGTTTATTGAACCCACAAACTCCGTATCGAATCCGAGTGCTAGGAACTTTGCGGTGGTATAACTCGATACGCCAACATAGAAAGTTAATGAAATTTGGCATGTTCATTCCTTATGCACCTGTCCAGTTGGTGAAATAAAGATATTGAAGCCGCCAAAGCTAGTTAGAAGTTATTACGTGCGTAGCCCTTACCCGATTCTCCAATATGTTTAGTATGTTTACGGTATATACCTCGAAACGCCAACATAGGAGCCTTCTGAACTTTTGTATTCTAGTAGTTTATTCATATCTTGATTCCGTGAAAGGAAAAACATTTTCCCACCAAACCTGGATGGGGTCGTTTTTTGATGCAGCGTGGGCGGACCCCAATTGTTTATTGAACCAACAAACTCCACCTCGAATCCGGGTGCTAGGAACTTGGCGCCAGTTGGCGGTGGTATAACTCGATACGCCAACATAGAAAGTTAATGAAATTCGGCATGTGCATACCTTATGCATCTGTCGATTTAGTGAAATAAAGATATTGAAGCCACCAAAGCTAGTTTAGAAGTTATTGCGTGCGCAGTCAGCCTACCCCAACCCGATTCCCCCAAATGTTTAGTATATTTACGGTAATATACCTCGAAACGCCAGCATAGGAACCTTCTGAAATTTTGTATTCTAGTAGTTTATTCATCTCTTGATTCCGTGAAACAAAAAACATTTTCCCACCAAATCTGGTTTGGGTCGTTTTTTGATGCGTGGGCGTATCCGTTGTTTATTGAACTCACAAACTCCACCTGATCGAATCCGGGTGCTAGGAACTTTGAGGTGGTTTAACTCGATACGCCAACATAGAAAGTTAATGAAATTCGGCATGTGCATACCTTATGCATCTGTCGATTTAATGAAATAAAGATATTGAAGCCACCAAAGCTAGTTTAGAAATTATTGCGTGCGCAGTCAGCCTAGCCCAACCCGATTCCGCCATATGTTTAGTATGTTTACGGTAATATATCTCGAAACGCCAGCATAGGAACCTTCTGAAATTTTGGATTCTAGTAGTTCATTCATCTCTTGATTCCGTGAAACAAAAAACATTTTCCCACCAAATCTGGTTGGGGTACATTTTGATGCAAAATGGACGTACCCTTTTTTTTGCATGCTCAGTTAGCCTAGTGTGCGATATTTTAGTACGTTTACGGTAATAGTATATTTTGGGGTGTGGGGTGGGGTCGGGGGGATCTATTACATATATACTTTGCATTAATATGTTTTAAAATTTTATTTTCTAATATAAAGGTAACAATTATTTTCGTGATATGATATTATCTAGGTTTTTCTTGGCGCTAGGAAATATGTAGGCTAACTTGATCTCGAATCCGGGTGCTGGAACAATCTGTTTTACAGACCTAATGCGACATCCGTCTTTTATCACTGTCAAAGATGACTGACCTTTAAAAGGTCAGACCGCTGTAGTTCTAAGGGTGACGTCACATCACAATGTTTACCAACAAAGCAAGATGGCGTCGATAACGCCAAAAAAGATTACTTCTGTAGCTTGTTTTTGTTGTTTTAAAACAAACACGAGCAGGTCAATCAGATTAGACGGTAAAAAATGTACTTCTTAAAGAATTCAGAGTAAACAAACAGAAAAAAACTCCGTCAAATTGATGGTCACACGTGCGTTGTTTACATCGAACGTAGTAATATGAACTGGTACGGGCAAAATTATATCGTTTTACCCATTTTACGCTTCCGCGTACTATTTTCTGTACCTATTTACGCTAAATATGGAATATTTTTTATCAAGATATACTTCAAACACCTTTATTTATCTTTCTAATACTAAAAAAAAATGTTTCAGAATTTAATTTGTCGAAAAAAAAAAGTTAATATTTTGTAGTCATTAAGTCGCATCGATGTCATCATTATCAGTAATTGTAGCGGCCAACGAATATTCACTGCGGATCAGTGTGGTGCTGGAATACGGTGAGAGAATATGTGTGCTAATTTAATCTCGAATCCGGGTGCTGGATTACGGGTGAGAGATTCCGCTCGGTTTCATCAGATAGGTTCGTCGTTAGTTACTTTTTACTCTAACGAAGTAGTCTAGAGTCAGACTCAGAGAGTCTAGACTAGTAGACTGCTACTATCTAGTTAGAGCTAAGACTTCGTTACTAAAGTAACTAAACTAGTTCGTCGGACGACACAAAACTGTGCAAAAAAAACCCAAAAAAGATATTTCTATGAACAATATTTTGATACCAATAGGCCTAATGTTTTATAAAATAGAATTTGAAGTGTAAATGGTTGCAACAACTGATCGAATTGCGTCAATCAAGATTAAAATGATGGTCCTTATCCTGATTCGTTTTAATAATAGAGTTGCCGTCCTTGGACGGTACCCGTCAGTCAACTTCCGGGATCCAATTTCATGTTTATTTTTTTGACAGGCCGAGTCAGCAACTGTGCTTGTCGACGTGTTTCTCCAACATACATGTAGATCTATTCCAAGGTCTGTTCTTTTACGAACCAGCTATCGACGATCTATAGGTATTAAATTGTTAGAAATATAAACAGAAATGGGAAGAAAGTGATTACCAATTACTAATTAGTAAGAACTGACTAAGTACTACTAAGTAGCACTAAAAAAGTCTTCAGATTTATAAATAATTAAGTAGGCCTATATAGGCTAATATATCGAGATACGGAGTCCTACATATTTACTACAGAGTCACTGAGAGAGTTCTATCTAGGCTGGCCGACTATACTTTAATTTGGACATTGCCAGAAAAAATAAAATTTTGATTAATGTTATAACTAGAATTGTATTGAGAAATAGTGTCAAATCAATTGACTCAGTCATATTCAGATACTTAATATAGTCATGACTGGGACTTTTGGGAATGAGCCCACTGTGTATGTAACTGTAATGTCGGTCACTACTAAGACTAAGAGTAAGAATCTGGGTAATAGTTTAGAAGTTTATACACAACAATCCAATTGCATATCCTAATTGCTATTTAAATTTTTTTCAACCGTACAAGTGTGCAGCCACAGACACAAGCAAAATTTGACCAAAACTCCTAGTCTCTACTATCAAACACCTATTATTGATCATTAGCCCAGTCATTGCAGAAAGGTTGGACGTTAAACCCATTTTATATATTGTTGTTCTTCAGATCTTTACAACAGATTATGACAGGAAAAGGGACTGAAATTTGAAGGACATCAAATTTTAAACTTTGATTTAATTGCCAGTAAATTGAAAAAGTGTCAAAATGATGCAAGAGACAGATCAAGATGATGAACAGATATTGTTTGATCAGGAGGGGCTCTTGTCAAATCCTAATACACCTTCTTCATCTAGAACCCAGCGCTCTACATGGTGCAAGAAGTTTGTTCAAACCATTGTACTGTCTGTTGCTTTCTTTGCTCTGGTAATTACATGTAATTTATAACTTTATTAATCACTCTTCTTTCATTGATAAATCTTTCTTAAGAACTAGGAACATTATTACTCAAACATTTTGCATTATAGGCTATTTAGTACAGGTAATTAATGCATAAAACTTAATTAACCATTCTACTCCCCTTTTATTTATGTTTCTTATGGAAAAATATGACTTAAACAGTTTGCATTGTAGAATAGGTACATATACCTTGATTAGTTTTTGTTTTCATGTGCAGTTGACATGTTATATATAAGTAAATGTTCAATTTTATATTAAAGTGCACATAAGATGAACGTGGGAACTTTTCGCTATGTGTAGCCAATGGTCACTATATCCACTTTACAGCAAGTTCACACCAATCTGATTGAAAGTAATTCAGCTATCTTCACGGAAAGTAGCAAAAATAGACCTCCCGTAAAAACGACTTTGCCAATTATCGAAAACACTCTTAATCCCCTCAGACGCCAGTGACGTCACAGTGACCGAATGCATATTCGGAATGTTTATTCCCTAATTACTTATATACAACCAGCGTGTGTATTCATTAACATCTGACTGATTCGTTAATCCCCTAATCAAATAAAACAATTGACTACGGAATAATTTAGAATTTGTTTTATAATATACCGCTCTCTTTTCTCACGTCAGCGATTTTGATACTGTGTTTTAAAGTGACTATTTCATAGAGTCCATCTACCATCGTGTGCAGTCCAAACGATTCGAGATACATTTTCGTCAGAAGAGTATTGTGGTTCTAATATCCCTGAGTAAAAGAGTACAGGAGTAAAAAGATGTGGTCATGCAAAATCATAAAAGTCAAACATGATTGAAACGCGATTTGTATCTGTATCTCGTTTTCCAGTAGTCATCGTACAGCGCCTTTCTTTCTGCATGTGGATTTGACTTCATTACTCTGAAATAGATCGTACAAATGAAGTACGAAAAAATATCTCAATATACGTTAGAATTAACAATACAAATAAATTTTGTTGATAAATGAAATAACTATCTAACTATCTTTGTGTATTGATAATAATATGGCAAGTGTAGTGTCGTTTATATCTGTCATTAATCTATCCGACTAAAGTTGCAGACATGGGGTGACGGGGTCATAAATTAATTAAGAATGCTGATTAGGTAATTATATTTTTTTACGCCTGCCAGATCAAAGACATCACTCTAGGTGGAACATGTGCGTAATAATACCCCACGAACGAACTAATCGTACACACGTTAATTGTATAAAATAATTAAGTTTTACTCATCAGTTGTTTATAATTATTATTTACCTATTAATCAATTAGCTTTGCTCACCGATGTTTTTGTAATAAAATAGCCACGTATTATTTGTTGATTTGATTGACTTGATATGAAATCTGAATATAAATTATTCGATGGATAAACATTTGTGATAAGATAAGGTTATAATGTCTAACATCGTTTAACTTTTTTATAATAAAGGTATTTTACAGTTACATTGACAGTTTAATCACTAACCAAACTGCATCAGGAACTCCACGTATGATCAAGTGTATTTGATATGCATGTCCATGAATCCCGTGCAATTTTCGCGCCCAAGTTTAACCTCATTTACTACTCCCATAGTGCATGGAACCGTACATGGTAACAAGTTTCCCAGCATTGATTGGCTGAGAAATGAGAGCGATCGTTGTTATGCATAGTCATCGGAAAATTCCATATTCGCTGTGAATTTCAAAAGTTGTTTTTTGTGTATAGAAATGGTTATTATTATTATATATAGCTAATAATGAATATTTCTGTACTTATAGAGAATAGTTTGTAATATCAAGTATTACAGGGTTATCCAAATTACCAGTAAATGCGATAATTGCATGGGTCGTCTTCATTTGAAACATGGCCTATTTAAACAAAGGCAGCGTAAATGGATCTACGGCATGATACAGCATTTTAAATTCACTCTAAAATATTCCAATCACAAATGTCTAATCTATAACGATGTAAGACAATAATTTGGTGATTATGATTTGGCCAGTCATGTGGTAATTGGACCGTCACTAGACGCTTGCGAACTGGTGGTGTGTATTGATAGTGCTATATTTGACAGACAGTAATATATTGTATAGATAATGTATATAGTATGTGTAGTGCATGTGACGTCACCAGCCAATCAACCTGATTAAGGTTTAATTGAAAAATTGAAAAGCGTTTTAGCGTGTCAGATACTTAAACGTTAACAGCCGAATTAATTTTAATCAGATTGGTGTGAACTTGCCGTAAAGTGGATATAGTAACCATTGGCTATACGTACATGAAATTTAGATTTTATGTCTTATGTTGTCTTTAAGCAGACAGCTGATGCTTATATACTCTTAAAAAACTGTAGGGGATATTCAGAAACAAATATCCCCTACTTTTTTTATATGCCCACATTTCCATGTGGACGTATACATGTATTATCATCGCCCCAGTCCGTCCGTCCACAATTGTTTGTGAACACTCTACAGGTCACAATTTTTATCCGATTTCAATGAAACTTGAAATATAGGTTTATCACCCTAAGATCTCGGGTCCTTTCGATATTGACATGTGTCGGACTGTAACTTCATGGATTATGGCCCCTGATTGTATGAAAAATCATGTTTTTAGCTTGTGAACACTGTAGAGGTTAAAATTTTTATCTGATTTGGTTTAAACTTGAAATGTATGTTTATAACCCACAGATCTCGGTTCCTTTCGATATTCATGGATATTGGACCATAACTTTCTGAATTAGGGCCCCTGATTGTACGAAAAATCGCGTTTTTAGCTTGTGGACCCCATAGAGGTCACAATTTTTATCCGATTTAAAAAAAAACGTTTGAATATATCACCATTACACCCTAATGATGGTTGACTTCGAATTTCGTAAAAATCAGACCGGAAATTGATGGACACAATGGCCGCCCCTCATTCGTAAATAGTGTCACAATATTGTGTATCAGGGTTGTGGACCCTCTGCAGGTTACAATTTTCATCTGATTTTGATGAAATTTAAAATGAAGGTTTATAACCCAAATACCTTGGTTTCTGTCTATTTTTGTACATATCGAATCATAACTTCCTGAATTATGGCCCCTGATTGTACGAAAAATCATGTTTTTAGCTTGTGATCCCTCTAGAGGTCACAATTATTATCCGATTTAAAAAATGTTCGAATATGTCACCGTTACACCGTATTGTTGGTTGAATTTGAATTTCATAAAAATCCGACCAAAAGTGTCAGAAAAATGGCCGCCCGTCTACGCAAATAGTGAAATGAAATGAAATGGGGTTTAACGTCCTACTGTTTTACTCCGAACTGGGCTATTAAAGACGGGCATACACCATACAGTGTGCTATGAGGGAAATTTTGCCCGGACAGCGGCACTACGGCCTACTCTTATATCAAATTCCAACTGTCAAGGGATCTTTTGCGTGCACGCCAATGTGTTTTTCGACTCATCCGAATGACTAGACAGCTGTACATGTCAGGCTGTCCGTCCTGCATCACTGACAAGGGGAAACCACGCCGGAAAATCTGGATGAACTTTCTCGGCCAATGCAGGGATCGAACACCCGACCTCCAGGCTAGCGAGCCAGCGCCTTACCCACTTAACCAACGTGATCCCCACAAATAGTGTGAACATCTGATATATCAAGCTTGTGGACCCTCTATAGCTCACAATTTTGGCTGCCTCTTGTACGCAAATAGTGTAAACATTTGGTATATCAAAGTTGTGGACCCTCTAGAGGCCACAATTTTGATCCGATTTGATGAAACTTGAAATACAAGTTTATAACCCAAAGATCTTGGATCCTTTCAATATTCGCGCATATCGGATCGTACCTTCCTGAATTAAGGCCTCTGATTGTACGCAAAATCGCATTTGTAGCTTGTGGTCCCTGAAGGTTCACAACTATTATTCGATTTAAAAATACGTTTGAATATATCACCGTTACACCATAATGTTTGTTGAGTTTGAATTTTGTGAAAATCTGGCCAAAACTGCCGGACAAAATTTTCGCCCCTCGTACATAAATAGTGTAAACATCTGGTAAATCAAGGTTGTGGACCCTCTAGAGGTCACAATTTTGATCCAATTTCGATGAAACTTGAAATACATGTTTATAACCCAAAGATATTGGTTCCTTTTGATATTTGTGCATATCAGATCGTAACTTCCTGAATTATGGCCTTTGACCAAAAAATACTGTTTTTAGCTTGTGGTCCCTGTAGAGGTCACAATTTTTATCCGATACAAAAAAACATGTGAATATATCATCATTACCCACTAAGATCTTGGTTCCTTTTGATAATCACAGATACCCGAACTTAACTTCCTGGATTATGGCCCCTGATTATTCGAAAAATCGCATTTTTAGCTTGCAGATTCTCTAGAGGTCACCATTTTTTTCCGATTTTAAAAACCATTTAAATACATCACCATTCCACCATAATGAAGATTGAATTTGTATTTCGGGAAAATTGAAATGAAACTGCCCGACAAAATGGCCGCTCTTTGTACGCAAATTGTGTAGAATTGTTTAATACGAAGGTTGTGGACCCTCTAGAGGTCACAATTTTTATCCGATTTTGATGAAACTTAAAACACATCTTTATATCCCAAAGATCTCTGTCCCTTTTGATATTTGCACATTTCAGGCCATAACTTTCTGGATTATTGACCCTAATTGTACAATAAATCACATTTGTTTTTAGCCTTACTCATGGATCATATTTCCATTATAAAATGCCTTAATTGTTTGTCTGTAGAATATGTGCTAATTTAACTGTTAGTGTTAAACGCAAGGATTTTTTTCCTCTAAACAAATTTCTCCAAAAAGAAACCCCATTTAATACCCCAAGACTTGTCTTTCTTGAAGTTTAGGGGTTTTTAATTATAGATAAAACTATCAAAAAAAAAAAGGTAATTTTTCATCAGATTACATTTATCAGGACAGTGATCATCCATGTGGACATCTTATAGAAATCCACTTTTCTGCAGTGAATATTTTCAGCCGGATCATGAGCTATTATAAAGTATGTTTTAATTATATTTTACAGGGTTTATGTATAGCCATACCAGGACCAACTCTATTAGATCTTGGGGAACGTACACATGCTTCTACAGATAAGATATCATTGATATTTACAGCTAGATCAATTGGTTATTTACTTGGTTCAATCATTGGAGGATTTCTATTTGATAGATTTGATCAGCAACTTCTGCTTTTCTACACACTAGTATTTACATCAGTGGCTACTGTTGCGGCACCATGGTGTACAGCTCTAATCATACTAGCTGTCATGATTGCCTTTCAAGGTATATCTATGGGAGTACTGGATACAGGTAATCATAATAGTAAACTACCACATAAGGGGGAACGTAATCAGGTTCAGTAAAAGTGAAATCTATAGCAAAAAACTATATTTATTTATTTGTGCATGTAAGAATGGATTGGGTGATAAATAAAATCTCCTACTCATCTTTTTTGATATCAAAAATTATCAACACTTTATCGACTTGTGTTGATTTTTTTTGATATCAAAAACGACTCGTAGGAGATTCTCTATTTACCACCTGCTACATGTACCACTGAAGTGATATCGCCCTGAATTAACTGTTATTAGCTAAAGGAGGAAAACATGAACTGATTATAAAAGTGCATTTAATTAAAACTGATAATTTGTTTTCCTAAAAATAATTATATGCTTTATTCCTCTTAAACTACCAAATAAATCTTATATAAGAATTTACCTTTTTATGTAAGCTTACTCTTTAAGAAAATGATTTGGACATTTTAGTGTTCAACACTCTGAACTCAGTTATTGTTTCTTGAGGTATGCGGGCGCTCACAAGCACCTGCCGTATACTTGAATGTCGACAGAGGGGAGGTTTTTCTCCCTTGCCTTAAGATTGAGAATTGCTCTCCTTATTTGTAAATCATGGACATATGTATTTTTTTTTTTTAAAAGAGTGTGAAAGTTTCACATTTCGATCGCGGTCTTACTCTCAATTAGTGTATCTGATCGCACATGTAATAAAAGTCTGATGAATATTTTGCTAAAAATAGATGGCACCTATGCATCATTGGTTAATTTAACTGAAACGTAAAGTAGAATTCTAGCAAGCTGTGAGAAGTTACGAGAGATGGCAAATGAAAATTTCCATTGAAAATAATTCCGGAAGAAGTAGATAATATTTTGATGGAATTTTCGAGCGTTTATGATTGTATTTTGAATAGGGGGTTGGATGGCTGAATGGTTAGCGTGTGTGTGCTGTATCATAAAGTCTGTCATTTAGTCAACCGGCGTGGTTTCAATTCCCCGGTTGTACGTGACAAGGGGTAGGGTCGCCTGTCCAACCTTGTGGGTTTTCTCTGGGTCCTCCGGTTTCCTCCCATTGCTAAAGACCCCTATTGAAATAAAATTAAACCATATGTTAGTCCTGAAATGACCTACTTTGTATCGAGTGGACATTAAACCCCATTTCTTTCTCTCTCTCTCTCTCTCTCTCTCTCTCTCTCTCTCTCTATCTCTCTCTCTCCCTCTCTCTCTCTCTATTTTGAATAGGGGTTATGTTTTTAAACAAAATTCATACAAGCTATATTTAGAAATGTTGACAAGTAATTCTATTGGAATACCGTAAGTAGTTTTAGACGATAGCAAAAGTTTGACTTCACCGTAGGACTATGAGTACTATTATTTAGCAGACGATGTTTATTATCATTTATGTAACCATGAATGACCCCTTACCTGCAGTTATTAATCTTCAGAACCATTTCCCATACATACAAATAATCAGTCTCCTGATCACTCTCCTTAATTTCTAAATCACCCTTCTTATCGAAACTAGGAGAGCTTTTTTTAGGGGAGCGTTTTTTTCAATTTGTTCATTATGGGGAGCTTTTTTTGGCTCTCTTCTAAAATACAAAGACTGTGAACTTGATTACCATTATAAGGCCCATATCACACAAGGTATTGTTTACTATGAAAGAAATAGTGATAAAGCTGACCATCTATATTTTATACACCCCTGTTGTTGTATACTGTCGTCGACCCCGTTTGTCTGTCCACAATTTTTTGTGACCACTCTACAGACTACATTTGTCATCCAATCTTTTTGAAATTTGCATATGTTGCTTATATTTGTGAGACGAATAAGCCTATTTCATTTTGAAATATCTGTTAATTACTTGTTTGACTTAATACATTGAAGAAGAATATTGAATTTCAACAATTTCTGTTAATTAATTCTTGACCCTTGTTTCACTTTGTAGAGTCATGTGAAAGCTCAAATAACAAAAGTTATCATCTGATAGCTGCATGAAATTTATGTGTATTAATCAAATTAGTTATTTCAACAATTTTCATTAGTTATGTTTCTTGTTTATCTTTGTATGACCTTTTGAACTCTCGAATGACAAAAGTTATTGTGTAATCTATTGGAAATTAGTGAAACGAAAAAGCATATTGAATCCTGGTTTAAACATGTACCATTTGGACAATACATGAATACAAACATGGGAAAAAGGGCCTTCTATTATTACGATACATACATTTATTCATAGTCTAATCATAGCTTATACTCGCTTCATTTTTACTCTCAGATTATTAAATAACATATTATTGTATTTTTAATGTCTAAACATTTATTTATATTTCAGGTGGAAATGTGTTTTGTATTAAAATTTGGGGAAAGAAAAGTGCACCTTATATGCAGCTACTTCATTTTGCTTTTGGTGTAGGTGCATTTATAGCCCCTCTTCTTGCTAGACCATTTCTAATGAACCATGAATTGTTAGCTGCTCATAATAAGACCGGCCTTATAACAGGAAGAGCCCCTGGATTTGTATATGAACACAGATCGGTGCGAGATATTAGTAGTTCATTTGGGAATCAGACAGATTTTGAATTAACAAACAACAATACATTTATAGATACAGACAATTTACTAACTACAGCTTCGATGCCTACAAAACCTAAAAAGCCAACTTTAGCTGATGAAAATCTTTCTACGGGTAAAGATCCTGACTCTAGTGAAACTGCAAAAACAATTATAGCAAAAGAAAAAGTGAATGCTGCATCCAAAAATGACCCTTCTACAGACAAAGATAAGCCAGACTCAATTTTAACAATAGAAAATGTTACTGCACTTTCAAATGGTTCAAACATCATTTCTACTGCAACCATACCTTCTATAATAAATTCAACAATCACACAAAACAATTCAGAACCAACGTCTACAACTTGGCTTCCAGTAACTACTACTCAGCTGCCACCAACTACTACTCAAATGCCAACAACTACTACCACTAAACCACCTGCAACTACTACTAAACCACCTACAACTACTACTAAACCACCTACAATTACCACTAAACCACCAACAACTACCACTCCGCCATCAACAACTATTGTTCCATTATCCACAACTATCACTAAATCAAAAACTAAATCACTTGAAATAACAGTTGATAGTACTACTACATTATCTTCAAGTACCAACATCTCAAATAATTCTACTGAAGACAACAATAATTTAAAGAAACCTGGTACTGCAACTGGAGATCTTTTTAATAAAGCTCTCGATGCTATCACCAACATGTCAAAAATCCAGTTTGCTTATCTCATTATTGGTCTGTTGTTAGGTGTTAATGCGTTTATGTTTCTTGTCTTGTATTGTAAAGAGAAATATAGAAATATCCCATCTGCGCAGGAGGAAAAAGAAAAAGATTTAAGGAGAGGGAGCCATTCTTTCCGAGTAACTATCCTAGCTTTACTTTTTATGTTCTTCTTCATATATGTCGGTATGGAAGTAACTTACGGAGGTTTGTTATCTACATTTGCATTTGAACATATGGATTGGTCGGAACAGAAAGGGGCGACAGTTACTGCTGTATTTTGGGGTTCTGTGGCAGTAGGCCGTGGTATAGCTATTTTCATAGCAAAGGCTTGCTCGCCATCTTGTATGTTGATAACAGATTTAGTTCTAGTAATATTAGGAGCACTTATTTTATGTTTTGGTATACAGAAGTATGAGATTCTACTGTGGATAGGAACATTAACATTAGGTATGGGTATGTCTTCTATATTCCCCACCGGTATTTCATGGGCTGATCATTATTCACCTCTAACTGGTAAAGCTACAGCAGTTCTAATCGTAGGTTCCGCTCTCGGGGAAATGCTCATACCAGTTATTACTGGTTATTTCTATGTAAATGAAAGCCAGATGGTATTAATGTATATGATGTTAGCGATGTCTATAGTATCTGTTATTATCTATATCATCATGCAGAGGGTGGCATCGAATAAACGTACAGAGATATCAACTAGAAACGGTTTTCTTCCTCTAAAAGATGATGATGATGTTCCATTAGATGTATTAGAGCCAGCATATTCAAATGGAGTGACAGAAAACACTAGAAACAGACAGAGCAAAGTTCATTTTAAACCTGAGAGTAACGGTGAATATAAACGACTTATAGACTTTGATGAACCAGAACTTTCTTAAAGACTCTTTGAATATTAACATGATGTTACCCACACTATGAAGTACGCTTGATTCTTTTGGGTTTACCGAAGACATCAATGCTTTAACAATAATGTATTGTATAGAGTATTTTGGATCATTCATTGTTTTAGCCATAAGATTCATAATAACTCTCTCTGTGTTTTCATATAATCATGAAGCATGTTTTTATGGTATGGTTGCAGCTTGTAACAGTGTTGAATGTGCCAATATATAATTGTAGTTGTTTTAGTTCTGTGTTAAAAAAAATATGTGTAAAATGTATGGTACAACCTTTACTGCACATGCCTCCTGATTATGTTTATACTCTGTTGAAAGGTAGATAAAGGTCTTTGTGAGACTCAGTTCATGTAGATGTGATTTAGGTTATTATGAAAGATTACAATGTTATTATGAAGGATTACAATGTTGGAGTTTGTTGTGTGTAGAAAGACAGTTTTTAGTTCTGTGAACTTCCGATGATTTGCCCATGATTTACTAAGGACAGAACATTGAATAAGAGAGAACAAGGATACAACATCCAAATTAATTAGCCGTAACTGAATAAACATTAAGATATTTTTACAAACAATTTTAAATTCTAGTAAGACTTTAAGTTCCAATTTTCTTTTTTCTTAGATTTTAAAATACATTTCTGTAAATGAAAGCGAAAGATTCTAACTTGACTTATATTAAAAAGTTAAATTCAATTTTGAAAAGGGAAAATCATTTGCTATTGTAAAACGATTTTTTCATATTACTTTTGTTATAGGTACAACCAGCTCACTTTAAAATTGGTCACCCGGTTAATTTTTGCTTTGTTTCATTTGATGTACGTTAAAATACAGATGTTTCGTCATCCTTTGATGTTGGCGTACCTCGTGCAATATCAATATATTACTTTATGTCTCCTTCTTCACCATAACCACACATAATCACCAGTAAGAAGAAAGATTAAAAGCAAGATTACTTTTTATTCAATTTATAGACATATTTTTAAGAGTTTTTGGATAAACTGCAAATTTAACCCTATTTATGGTTTCATGTTTGAGTCTGAAAAATATCTAGTTTACTCTCATTGTAAATTTACTGACTTACAGGTAAATATCATATCCAGTCATGGGCACTACTATTAAGTACAATAATTTGATTTTGGCTAATTACATGTAGCTTAACTGATCTTTTTCTGTTTTCCTTAATAATTTTAAGAGATGAAGACAAATATCACATCTAATAAAGTTATGGTACCATGAATGGAGACACTCATTTGAGGGTATTGGTTGCAATACAAGTGTTTATATATAATAGAGATATTACTTTGTTGTTTTTGTAGTTAATATATAACTGTATGTGATTTATAACTAAGGATACTCATTGTTTATTTGTGTACATATTTTTTAAATGTATGTCTCTCCCACCTTTATATATGTTCAATAGTGCTATAATATGTTTCTTTGTGAATATCTATTAGTGTTTGTGAAGATGGTCCAGGTTGTTGGCTTCTTCCTAAAATCAAATAATTAGATTTGTATCAACGACATAAAGGACAATGTTGGTGTCCACCAATTGTACATATGTGATAGAATTGGTTAAAAAGATTCTAAATATGATCTGGTCAGAAGTACATAAAGTATAAAGAGATCAATTTCTCTATAAGTACCATACACTATTTTCAAGAAAGTTTAATATGTCTGATGAGAAATTAATATGAATTTGGTATTTGATAAAGAACACAAGCCAAAGTAATGCATGTGACTTAAAAAAAAAAACCCAAAAAACTAAACATATTGCATCTGGTGACAGTCAATTCTTGTTATGAATAGTTTATTCTTGAAATTGTGGTTACAAATCTTTGTTAAAATTATATTTAAAATGTGTTTAACAATTTCTTTATTGCATATGTTGAAGTGGTGAAGACCAAAATCGTCCTTAATTATGTCATAGTCTTGATCTTTAGGCTTTAAGCGTAAACATTAAAGATTGGTCAGTTTTTAAGAATATCCCTTTATTATTTTGTATAATTAGAACATGTTTTAATAGAATGTTTACAAGATTTATATGCTGTTTAACATTCAAGACAATAAGGAGTAATAAATATTATATATTTGGCGTTAATTTGAAACAGAAAGAGTATTAAAATAGGTACAAGCTCTGACTATAATTTGAATGTCTCGTCCTCCTTAGGACTTTCAGTCACCTGTTTTCAGTCTCCAAATCGTAGAAGTTTAAACCCATTCCAGAATCGAGACAATGATATAATTTTTATATGCCCACATGAAAATGTGGTTGTATATTGCCATCACCCCCCCCCCCCCCCCCCCCGTCCGTTTTGGAATTGATATATGTTGTTAATGTCAGTGAGATCAGTTATCATCTGATTTGTATGGAATTTATATGCATCATTTAGATTAGTGAAACAAAGAAGCCTATTGAATTTCAGCAATTTCCGCTAATTACGTCTGGAGTTATGGCCCTTGTTTCACTTTGTTGAACCTTGTGAATGCTTTAACAATAAAAGTTATCATTCGATCTGTATGAAATTTATATGCATTATTTGAATTAGTAAAACTAAAAAGCCTATCAAATTTCAACAATTTAAGGCCCTTGTTTCAGTTTGTAAAACCTTGTGAACCCTCAAATGATGAAAATTATAATCTGGTCTGTATGGAATTGTCTGGTATATGCCCCCTAGTTATCTACAAAAGAATAAATATGTGACAACCCTTGTCGACCGCTCGGACGATTTAGCTGCTGTGGGTGTATGTTTCGTTTCCTGGCAACCTATCTTTATGTTAGCAAAAATAATTGAACATTGTAGAATTTTCGGGGAGTTGACAGCAGAGCACAATTTGCTATATGTTAATATAAATTTTTATTGCTGTTCTGAAAATACCAAATAACATAGATAAAGTGGTTTAAAAACATATCGGGGGGTTGGATGGCTGAATGGTTAGCGTGCGTGCGCTGTATCATAAAGTCTGTCATTGAGTCGACTGGCGTTGTTTCGAATCCCCAGTTGTACGTGGCAAGGAGTAGGGTTGCCTGTCCAACCTCGTGGGTTTTCTCTGGGTCCTCCGGTTTCCTCCACCTTCTAAAGACCCCTACGCGCAAGCGAATTATGTAAATAAAATTAAATCATATGTTAGTCCCGAAATGACCTAGTTTGTGTCGAGTGGACGTTAAACCCCATTTCTCTCTCTCTCTTTAAAGACATCATTTAATCATTTAGAGACCGAAAATATGGGATGAAATGGTATTCAAAGGAGAAAGATAATTGAAGGATTGTGAAGGAGCTGTTTCATTAATTCTACCTCTCTGTGAAAAGGTACTTATTTATATATAATAATTGTTATATTTCTATATATCTTACTTACGTGTTATCTGTGATATCATTGTACTTACATCATTGAGATATTAAATACCTGAATTAATATGTAGTTTATTTAACAAGAGACTGCTGTTTTATACCTTGCCAAGAAATATATTTTGTTAATAAAAAACATAATATAGACCTACTTTTTCAACTATTTTTGAACAGAGAACAAATTTTGTTTTGATATGTGACCTTCATGCTACAACTTTTAGGAAATGTTTTACCAACTATCAGATTGTCAGATTTAGCCTTGGTGAGGCCCTTAACTATACATGGCTTATGGAGGGCCTTGGCTAAAAAGTTACACGGTACCATGTTGCATACCTTAAACCCACACATACAAATTAGCTACACAAGCATTTTAAAAACAACAGTACACATAAATATGGAGCAGAGTTTACAAGGTAATTCTAACTCAAGTAGTAATGTGTATGCCAATATAACCGTCTTCATTTGCCCAGTTTGTGCAGAACAGTAGGATGTTAAACCCCATTTCATTTCATTTATATACTAATATGCTTACTTCATTGCATGCAAAAATGCAACTTCTTACACTTGTAAAGATCCTAATTTATATAATTCATTTCTTAAATATTGCAGTTAAAATCTATATTTTGTTCTATTTCTGTTTTCACTGTCATATTTTTTATATTAAAGCAGATCATAGTCAGTTTAGTTTTGTAAACATTTTAACTGTTCACAAATGTATGAGGCAAAAGTGACTTAAATCTAGCCCTCATTTAATGGTAACAGATGACCCAGTTAAAATTATATGGTGGCTGATGATAGTGGCCTTTTCATAACCCAACAAACCAACATTACAGCCATATCAGGGCAAAGACAGGATTTGTGATACTATAGTATCTAATTCATAACATCATGCTGAATAATAAATAAATACAAATCATGCTCGTACAAAAGAAAGAATATTGATTGTTTTAGCCTATGTTTTGTACAAAAGTAAATTATTTTCAACTAACCTAGAATAACACCAGTAGAAAAAGTTAGTTAGCTATGTTAATTCAGTGAAGGAGAAGTGGTATCAGGTGTTCTAGAGATTGTAAGGATACCCTACCCCATGTGCGACACCGAGCGAAAGTTTGGTTGAAGCTTCTTGGTAAAAGATAACTTTGATCAGTAAATAAGTTACACCCATTGAAGTAAGCATATAAGCACAAGCATTACTAGGTTAAGGGATTTTGTAAGGCCTAAATCCACCACTGTCATAACACACTATATGTCATATCACTTTTTTTATTTTTACATATAAATATCACTATTTATGGAATAAGCACATCATAGTACCATTAAAATCAAAAGACAATTATTATAGCTTTCTCAAGCAGGAAATATTTCAGTATTTATTTTAAAGTTATATGTATTTTCTCTAAATATCTGTATTATAATAACCAAAAATATTATTTTTTATGAGTTCTGTTTAAAAACAAGTTTTCTGCTGTCTATGATTTCTCTACTGTTATAAATCAGTAACATTTACAAAATAATTACATGGCATTGCAACTTGATTGTGAAAAGAGCAGTTCTGATAAATAACGATTTTGTCCATAATATGTATATATGTTTTCATAATATCTTAAAAATCATATCTTGGATAATATATGCTTGACTTTGTGATTAAATGATTATTGCTGTTTTAAGATTTGATTTTTTATTGATATTCACATGAGAAATGCTTTAAAAAGTTTGAATATTAGTGCCCCTACCCACTTGTCAGTTGCCCACTATTTCTTGTTAAAGGGCCAATCCCGATAATATGTTGGAGAATAAAACAATCCTCTACCTAAGGGCCGAGCAACTAACTCAGTATTTGTGATACGTTATTAAACAACTTAAACCCGTCAGTCTTTATCTGGAAATGGAGACCAGTGTCCCAAGCTGTATCATGCTGTATCTGGATAAAACCAGACTTTTATTTTATAAAAATAAAGTGTAGGTGAAATTTACCTTTCGTTATCAAGTACAGCACATGGGTCATTCACTGTATATATCTCTAAAGGAACGGGAATCGATTATCAGGTCACGAAATGAAAACGTTGACCCGAAATCCTTAAAGGGTTATGTGTCCGGATAAGCAGTTTTGACGTTCACGTCCAAACGACTCAATATTTTGAGCGGAAATTTTGAGACAAGGTATCTACACCATTTCTCTATATTTTGGGTTTAAATTTCATACGTACTCGGACTTTTATTTTTGAGACTCTGTTCAAATCGGGATAGTCCCTTTAAAACACAACAGACAACATATTCTGATCTTTTTAAAATATCAGCAGACATTATTAGAATTTGATTGGCTTCAAGTTTCAAATTATCTCATAAACATAATCACTTTGTTAATTACTTATAAGCATGTAAAGCGCTGACAAGAATTTTCAATTTGATCAAGGCTATATCTGGGACAGGATATCTTTAAAATTCAATGGGCTTCTCCGTCTCATGAAATTTCACACTGTGTATAAATTCCAAATCAACCTGATGATAACTATATCATTTTGGGCATCCATACAAATTTTCAAAGTGATCTAGGGCCATACTGTGGCAGTAATTATTTGAAAAGGTCGAAACTGAATAGGCTTCTTAACTGATTGGTTACACAGAAAGACAAAATGTGACGATTTAAGCTCTTTCAGCTTTCATTGGTTCTAAACAAATCAGAACATAATTTCAATTATTTGTTTAGTCATAAGGGTGCATTTTGATAATTGATATAAAATGATTTATTTTGGGATATCTGGTTTTCACAAATCCAACAAGATCAGAAACATAATAATCCACTATCAGAAATCCTGCCATTACCTCCATTTTTCTGCTTACTTGTCTTCTAGTATTCATCGATTATTCCAAGGCATGTTTTAAATATTCTAACGAATATGGGACATAGGGTCAGTGGCGTACATATCGATTTTGTTGGGTGTGTGTGCTTGTGTGCTGTGTCTGAAGGAAAAATGAGACAACCGATGCACAGGCCCCTACGAGTGACGCAGCCACGACCCAAGCAAGGCAGGTGCAAGCTTTCTAAGGGGGTCCGGGGGCATGCTCACCTGGAGAAATTTTTGAATCCCTGAAATGCCATTTCCTGAACTTTGGGGGGAGATTTAGCAGAATTCTGATGGTCAGAAAACACTTAAAAAAGGTAAAATTGAGTACTATGCATAGGAATTCATGTTATTTATTAAGAATTTTGCAAGGACATACAAAGTACTGTGACAACTTCGACAACTTCTGAAGGTGATAATAATTACATCATTTACATGGACCTATATCTTCGATATATTGTTGTGGTGAAATAAATTACCAAAGATCGGCAAGTTTGTCAAGATCGATCGTTACTGAACGCATAAGGGTTTTTACTAATTTGAGCTTTGAAAAACTGGTGCATATTTTGATATCAAATCAAAGCAATCATATGTATACACAGATATATTCATACATATATTAAGTATTTGGGATTTTCCCTTTTATTTTGGCATTTTTTGTTTGTCTCAATAATTCACCGACTGCACTTGTTTTGTTACCACTATTTTTTTTCCTGGTGGGGTGTTTTTAGTAGTGGGGTATTTATCCCCTACCCACTTCAGAAGTGATAAAAATATAATAGTGAAAGTGAATTTTGAGAACAGATCAATTTTTATTTTCTATTTTAAAGAAAGACATAAATTAAATAAGGAATAGGTTGCCATGCAATGGAACTTGCCCACAGCAGCTAAGTTGTTAGAGCCATCCACAAAGGTTGTCGCATTGTGAATCTTTAGGAAAATAAAAATCTAAATCTTTTTACAATAAGCAATATAATTGGTATGCTGACAAAATCAAGGGATAAAACTCTACAACTAATCCTGAAAAATTGCTAAAATCTGATAGGCTTCTTCATTTCACTAATATGGACAAATATGCATATCAATTTCAAACAGATCAATTAATTAAATCAATGAGAAAGGGCAATGACACAAATTCATTTTCAGAAATTACTGAACTTCAAAAAGCTTCTTTGTCTCACTAATATAAAGATACATTTAAAAAGATTGGATAGGTGAAGTCTGTAGAGTGTTCACAGGAAATTCTGGACGCCAGACCAACAGACTGCGGCTGAGAATATATACTACCACATTTCATTGTAGGCATATAAAAATTACAATAATAAAAATAAAATGGACGGCATATGTTAAACAAATACAATTCATAACAAAAAAGAAATGCAAATAAATAAATAAACCAAGAAAAAAATTCTACAAAGTATTACAAATATTGATGCAAATTATATGATACAAATAAATTAACAAAAAGATTGATAAGACTATTTCATCCTGGTAGTCTTACCCTTCGTTGGATGTCCCCAAATTGTCAAAATTCAATGTTTTATTGAAGTAAGACTGTTTGCAATGGTATAAACGTCACTCCATAAATTGTTCCTCAATATACAGGGATGACTATGGATGCATTAACAGGGTTAACTTTACTGATCCACATCATGTATATGAACACATATGGTCTCATGTGGGACCTTAAATTGAAGGTTCAGATAAAAACTTAATATGAATGCAACAATTCCTTAATACATATAACGGGACACCCTGTTTCTCTCAACATACTGCTGGCTTAAAAATGGTAACAGAAGCACATTACATTAACAGTTTTACAATTACAAATGATTTAAACATTAAAATGACAAACAGGCCGGTGACATTTAGATGTGAGAGATACTAATTTTATATATAAAGAACAAAAATTCATTTAACAATTCTGCATCCGAATTTCCATAAAAAATTGAACAGTATACAGCTCTAACTCAACATGAGAGACAAGTCAAAAATTATCGTTGAAATGATCCCATAGAATTACTAAAACTAGTATAATGTTTAATGTCACAACCAGTAGATATGTAGTAAATCTAACTAATATTAGATTACAACTTTGTTTCTTTTTTACACTAACCATACTTTCTATTGCTCCTGTGTTCAGTGCGTAAGATATTAGCCAATCATACAAAGAACGGTTTATTACCACTAAACCCATCTGGATTACTCTTATATACATTTGGGTATAATATAGAGAGAGAGAGAGAAATGGGGTTTAACGTCCACTCGACACAAACTTGGTCATTTCGGGACTAACATATGATTTAATTTTATTTACATAATTCGCTTGCGCGTAGGGGGCTTTAGCAGTGGGAGGAAACCGGAGGACCCGGAGAAAACCCCACGAGGTTGGACTGGCTACCCTACTCCTTGCCACGTACAACCGGGGATTCGAAACCACGCCAGTCGACTCAATGACAGACTTTATGATACAGCGCGCGCACGCTAACCATTCAGCCATCAAACCCCCCGGGTATAATATAATTCCGACAAAGCACAGTCCTGTATATCAATACAAACAATTTCATTCTACAATTAAATCACTGGCTGAACACTGGCTTCCACATAAACTGAAATCTAATTTTAATCAGCTTGATATGAAGCATAACAATTCTATTAAAATTCTCTTTTTGATTATTATCCAACTAAGATTTAATTTTATAGTCCTGTACAAAAAACACATTAATGTTAGTTCTGCACAAGAATCACAATAATACATTTTACAAAACAAGGTAATACTTGTACATTTTCATTTAATTTATTTTAAATATGATACAATTCAAATTAACTGGCAAAAATATTTTACGCTGAAAATTTCTACTTCATTTGCAGAACAATAAGAATATAAATAAATGTACATAATAAAATCATTGTTTGATATACACTATAAATGAAGTATATCAAATCTTTCTTACAAAATACTCACCGTCAATCATGTACATAATATGATTTAATATAATATTCTCATTAAATTCATTACAGGAAAAAATAATGTTACTATCAATATTTTCTTCTTAAAGAAAACACATACATATACTAGCTATAGTAAAACAAATCACATTCTATTTATTATTTTCAAAAGTTTAGTTTTACCGGTAATTTTATTCTAATATTAAGATGGGTTCTGCTGAGCATAATAGAGTCAGCTGTTCGACACCTGTACTTATTTTTATCTGATTATATATTTGTATAGTGACTAGGAAAAATACATTGACTAACAAGTTAATCATTACAGGGGTTAACAGTCAACGTGGTTGCTATCTTAGCATGTCCAGTTCATAACTGCGTCTACGTTAGAAACTTGCAGAATGCCGAAAAAATGTTTTCCATGCAATATCTTGAAATGGATACTTATTTAGAATTGTAGTTATCAAAGAAATATGTTTATAAAATGTAAGTTAGATGTTGGTAAGCAGATCATCCAGAAAATAGTAAACATTGCTGTACCAAAATACTGATAAATGTTGAAAGTAGACACATCTACATAACATATATTTACATAAATATACAGCTGTGAATTACACTAGTTTTATTTTTATCATATATGTAGCTTACCATGAATATCATTGAGCTGTTTTAGTGATCTATTTATGTTTGTGGTCTATATTCAGCTTCTGTATATTTTAGCGAGTTTAATGGGCTGATCCTTTTTCCTTTGATGGGACTATTATTGTGTCTATAAGAAAACTATGCCCTTCCAACATAATATTAGTGAAGATTCACATATATATTATATATTAATGGAATAGCAGCATTTATAATCATTGTTTATTGTATTAGATGAAGCAATATCGTGGTTCAGTATATAAGCTTATTATAGTACACAAACTATTTTGGAATGAGTCCTCGGGAAGAAGGAAAAACATTTGAATTGTCAACTTTCTTGGCTGTCCTTGGTCTGAAAAAAATTATTATTATACATCAGTTAATTTACTTAAAGAGATTTTCATATTTTCTAAGAAAGTCAGAACATAATCATTTCTATATCTATTGCTTAATAGGTTGTCAATCAGTATCAATATAATCATAGGAATCGTTCTAGCACTTTAAAAATATTCACATAAAAATTTGAAATATTATCTACTCGTCCATGGTACTTCGAACCATGGGTTCCACGTCGGCCGTATATGCCGGTCGAGACCTACGGCTATGGAAAATGACCGTTCCTAGATCTAACCTAACGGTCATTTTGCACACCGGAAAGAGAGTCTTTTTTTCCAAAACCCAATTTTCAAACATGGCTACGATCGACCTCCACTATATAACTATACAAGAATGCACAGGTATAGAAGTCAATTTCGTGATTGGTGTTATAGAGTTGTATAAATACAATAGTCGTCAACAGATTATACTGAGTGTTGTGTTGATAATTAATGATGAGTGTCTGGTAGAGAACAATAAATGTTAATTGATAAGTAGGAATCTAATCAACGGCGTGAAGCGGTCCATTGTTAATCATTTACGTATTGTCCACGTGTCAGAAGGATTTTCAACATCAAAGCCGTTTACCGCTATTACGGTCAGGCACGATGTAAACGAGGTTATTATGAGCTTCGAAAAAAGGCAATTGATATAAAATACTGCTCTTCGCATCCAACCAACTGTCATATAAAATAAAAACAGCATAGAAATTACGGAAGTCCTCAAGAACGTACATGTACGTGTTGGGAGAAAAATGCATTTATAATTTTTTATAGCGGTATTATGGCCTTGTGGAAATTGTAGAAATAAAATCTAGAGAATAGTTAACTTGCTTACCGAAAAATTAAGAAAATTACGTATTCCAGTTCTATTGTGCAGCGATATTGATAATTCCACGTGTAGAAAATATGTCGTGTATATACGGTTACTCTTACACACGACGATATTTTAGGGGGCGCTAGTGTCGTTAGCTGGGAAGTTAGTTATCTGTTAGTCATTTAGTTATACATTATTAGGATTTACGTCACAATTCTGCAACCCGTAATTCCGTAAGAGATGGTCTTAAAACCAATAAATGTGAGAAATATGCCGTGGATAATTATATATTTATCTTCATATCGAAGTTATTGTGTTACAACTCAAAATTATCCAGGTCAGTGTATTTACTATGGAGCACGTGGTAATTACGTGTGAGCTACTGAAATGGTTTTTCTACGGCCAATTAAACTATTTCGTTATTTAAGTAGCCAAAATGGAATATTTAATTAATTAATAAATAATTATCATAAGCCTTACTAATATTTCATTTTTAAGTCAAATATATTTTTTTTTTTTGTGTACCACTACCCCATCATGGTGACAAAGTGGTATAGACACGTGAATTCACAATACCATACCATGAATAAAAAACATGAAATATGAATTTACTTTGAAAAGTTTTCGTGCCTTATCAAAAATGACCGGTAGTGACAATTTTGAAGTGGAAGCCCTGCTTCGAACTATGACTTTTAAAAGTGCAATTATCGATTTAAAAACAACACTTAGAAACAAACACAAACACGTCTAATCACCTTCATTATCACAATGGAGAAAATATAAAAAACAAATTTGACATACCTTCCTATTTTATCTTTTTTCTTTAATTTATTGGCTTTCGTACTAAATATAGCAGGACTGAAATATAAAGGTGCTGATACTTAAATTAGTCATAATAATACTCCTCAATATTCAAAACAGGAAGTTTTTATCTGTTAAATAATAACTGACTAAATCATGGCCGAGCTTATGAGTAAATTGTGTCCCAGTTTATGAGTAAATTCTAATAAATATGATTGGTGATTGAAATCTATTGGATGGAGTAATCATTTCTTAGTTATTTACCTTCCATCAATATCAATATTTTCTTCTTCTTGTAAGGCAGCATCTAATGCTGCTTGTACTCTTGGCGCTACCGTCGGTCCCTCGTAATCTCGTGTTGTACGATTTGGCATGTCTAGTTCAACTTGTAAAATATTCTCACCCTGAAAGATTATTATTACATTATACAACTCTAACCAATCTCTAAACACAATTTCTCTGACATTCATATTTACAACAATCATACTATTAGTATTACTCAAAATAAACATTCATATCCATACAACAACTATATACTATTACTCAAAATAAACATTCCTATCTATACAACAACTCTACTATTACTCAAAATAAACATTCCTATCTACAATCATTAATATTACTTAGAATAAACATTCATATCTACAACAACCAAACATTCATATCTATACCATAACCAATACTATTACTCAAAATAAACATTCATTTCTATACAACAACTACACTATTACTCAAAATAAACATTCATCTCCACAACAACCATACTATTACTAAAAATAAACATTCATATCCACAACAATCACCATTACCAGTCCTCTTTTATGTAGGCTCCTGAATATTATAGATTGCCCTGATAAATAGCAATAATCCATGTACACAAGACAGTCTTGCTAATAATTATAATATCACAAACTATACAAACATCCAGATTTTTACAGCTGATTGAAAATACTTTATAATCATCACTCTGATTGTCACTGGCTGAAAATATTGACAGATTGCTTGCTTAATGACCAACTTCAAAGTGAATTTGTTAATATACTAACCAGGAATCTGGGATCACCTCCCATTGCTGCAGCTACTCTAGCAAACTCTGTCACTGGTCTTTTATTACCTAAAGCCGATATAGGTCTTGTCATCATTGTGGTAGCACTACAATATAATATATCAAATTAGGGCTGTATGATATTGCAAAAAGGGACGATATCGATATTGGCATTTTTTTCAACGATATAGTTAAATATCGTGATATTTAATAATAATGTCACTTTGCTATTAAATAAATTAAATATAAATGCATTAAAGCTGACTACAGTGTAAGTAAGAATTGTGGGTAAGAATTGCTTTATTCACACACTTTAAACATTGCTTTTTTTATAATATAAATTTATTAAAATGAAAAAACAACATCCTTTTTGGATAAAAACGTTTCAATGCTTTTAACACAATAACAGGAGACATTACTTAAGCCTGTACATATAATTAAATTAAATACAACCGCTGATGTTTAAAGATAGGTTGCCAGGCAACGAAACATACGCCCACAGCAGCTAAATCGTCCGGGCAGTCAACAAGAGTTGTCGCATATTTTACTTTTTTCGGTAATGAAACATTTATAATACACTAAAATCTGATTAAGAGCAACAACTGAGAAAACCATTAGAATTTGTTTGGTTTTTATAAACTTCTACCCCATGCTAACGTTTTGTATACAAAACTTTTAATATCAAGGATTTAGCTGTTCCAAGTCATAAAAATTCATTGAAAATCAATATACTTGTTCCTCTCAAGATCTTAAACTCTGTGTATCAATCTGAAGTCAATCGGATGATAACTTTAGCCTTTAGAGCGTCACAAGATTTTGCAAAGTGATCAAGGGCCATAACTTTGGCAGTAATTATCGGAAATCGTTGAAAATCAATAGGATTCTCCGTCTCATGATCCTAAACACTGTGTATGAATTTAAGGTCAATCAGATATTAACTTTGGTCTCTAGAGCATCCACAAGATTTTTCAAAGTGATTAAGGGCCATAACTCTGGCAGTAATTATCAAAAATCGGTGAAAATCAATAGGATTCTTCGTCTCATGACATTAAACACTGTGTATAAATTTAAAGTCAATCGGATATTAACTTTGGCCTTTAGAGCGTCCACAAGATTTTTCAAAGTGATCAAGGGCCATAACTCTGGCATTAATTATTGTAAATCGCTGAAAATCAATATGCTTCTTCGTCTCATAACCTTAAACACTGTGTATAAATTTAAAGTCAATCGGATATTAACTTTGGCCTCTAGAGCGTCCACAAGATTTTTCAAAGTGATCAAGGGCCATAACTCTGGCAGTAATTATCGGAAATTGCTAAAAGTCCATAGGCTTCTTTGTCTCATGACCTTAAACACTGTGTATGAATTTAAAGTCAATCAGATATTAACTTTGGCCTCTAGAGCGTCCACAAGATTTTTTTAAGTGATCAAGGGCCATAACTCTGGCAGTAATTATCGGAAATCGCTGAAAATCAATAGGCTTTTTCGTCTCATGACCTTAAACACTGTGTATAAATTTAAGATCAATCGGATATTAACTTTGGCCTCTAGAGCGTCCACAAGATTTTTCAAAGTGATCAAGAGCCATAACTCTGGCAGTAATTTCCAGAAATCGCTGAAAATCAATAGGCTTCTTCGTCTCATGACCTTAAACACTGTGTATAAATTTAAAGTCAATTGGATATTAACTTTGGCCTCTAGAGCGTCCACAAGAATTTTTGAAGTGATCAAGGGCCATAACTCTGGCAGTAATTATCGGAAATTGCTAAAAATCAATAGGATTCTTCGTCTCATGACCTTAAACACTGTGTATTAATTTAAAGTCAATTGGATATTAACTTTGGCCTCTAGAGCGTCCACAAGATTTTTTGAAGTGATCAAGGGCCGTAACTCTGGTAGTAATTATCGAAAATCGCTGAAAATCAATAGGCTTCTTCGTCTCATGACCTTAAACACTGTGTATAAATTTAAGATCAATCGGATATTAACTTTGGCCTCTAGAGCGTCCACAAGATTTTTTGAAGTGATCAAGGGCCATAACTCTGGCAGTAATTATCGAAAATCGCTGAAAATCAATAGGCTTCTTCGTCTCATGATCTTAAACACTGTGTATAAATTTAAAGTCAATCGGATATTAACTTTAGCCTCTAGAGCGTCCACAAGCAATTGTGGACGCCGGACCGACGGACGGACGGGAGCGACGACAATATACGACCACATTTAAATGTGGGCGTATAAAAAGTGTCTGCTTGTGACCTTGTGTAAGAATATTCTCAAATATCACGTGCAGCGGAAGTAAGTAGATGCGGTCTTCAAGTCTTGTAATTGTAAATTCAAACAGTTTAACAAATACTAAATGATCCGGACTATCTTCCATTCAAGCATTCGATTGGCTGCGGTATTCCTGGCCTAACAGTGACAGTAATCTATTTATAGATCGTTTTATTCTTGCTTTCAGAAATTAAGTTTCGTAGAGTTTTCTAAAAATATTCGTTTTTTAAAAATATGACAACCTATTTATAGCCTAATTAGCCGCGGTCGTGGGAAATTTCAGGCGTTTAGTAGGCCTAAGCTTTACATGTAGTAACAACTGACAATTTATTGTCGACTAAAAACAAAGTAAAAGTAACGCATCCACGATGCAGTGAAAAACGACTGCAGACACTGCGCAAGTGTTTTCAACATTTAACGATTCTCAAAACATTAGTTTTATTATAGTTTATTGCCTTTGGCTAATTTCCACTGCTGTATGGTGTATTTATTATGTATTTTTATGAAAATTTTTGGCGATATTCAATAAACCACTGAAAATACCATATCGCAATAAATGACTATATCGAGAATATCGTACAGCCCTATATCAAATATAGAGTTGATACAGGTCTGGTTACTATAGTAGTAACATTTTAATATGTATATTACTTAGCAAAACAAAAGAGACATGGGGTTTAACGTCCACTCAAAACAAAAGTCATTTTGGGAATAACATATGGTTCCAGAGTAACCCCACATGATTGGACAGGTCATCCTACTCCTTGTAACACACAAGCTAGGAATCAAAACCATATAACATGACTCAATGACAGATGTTATGATCCAAAGCACAAGCCTTAGACCATTTGGCTACCCAACCCCCAACTTAACTTTCAAATTAAAATTCCCTACCACATATGTAAAGGTGACTAAATTGAGCTCAATTATTGGTGATCTAAAGTATGATTGTTCTTCGTGTCTTAATGGAATATACATAAACACAGTACGTTGTCATATGAGTGAAAATGACATTATTTGCTTGGAAGTACACTGTCATAATGTCAGCTAGAAATGTAAGAGATTTTTTGTACCTTTTATTGGCTAATAACTTTAAATTCCATGTATCTGTATCTTCATCAAATTGAGCTCTATTTAATACTTTACTTTTTTCTTCTGTTGGAATAAAATTCTCTATTATCAGCATTCTGTAATATTAAATATATTCTATTAAAACCAAATTCACATCATTTAATTAATTTCAACATTTTTATTGCACAAGTAATATTGTTTAGCACTCAACAAACTTCCGAACACTGGTTAATATAGATATAAAAATTTGTAAGGTCTGTATCACATCAGTAATGTCTGTATCACATCACCAGAGTCAATCACTATAGACTGTACAATACATCATGTTATAATTAATGTATTGATATCAATGAAAGAACTTACTTGAGTTTTAATTCTCTTGTTAATTCCATTTGTGTTTGCTCTAATTCCTGTCTTTCTTTAACATGTTCTTCTTGTAAATCAAATATCTCTTGTTTGGTTGATTGGAGTTTAGAAAATAACTTTCATAAAAAAAAACCCATGGGAATTTAATAAAAATCACAAGATCAGACATTATATGACATACAATTTTTTTTTCTTTATTCTCCGTTTTGATTGAAATTGGATCTCAGAAAATAATGTTGAAGATATCTCCAAAATAAACAATTACTAGCATTTGCTTTTAACTGGCAAGCACGCACCGACTCTCGCTGGCAAGATGCAATCTCACAATGTTAATATTGGGAGTTGAAAAATTATCTATCATTTTAATTGACTGTATAGTTGAATCAGTTATGTTAATTAATTTAAACTTTTTAGTTTTTAGTCTATCAGACATAACTAATAAGTCTTTAAGCATGAATAACATCATTATCATATATATATCATATCTTATGGGTTCCATATCTGAATTCTGAAAATAGTAATAAAAGGTTTTTTTTTCTTGTTTCTCCATTGGCAATGATGTACCTTTTTAAGTTTTTTAGTTTTCACATCAACTTCTTGTTGTAATGATGCATAGGTTTCTTGTAATTCAACAGCAGATTCTTCTTTTTCTTCCAATTTCTGTTTAATTTCTCTTTCTACTCGCTACAAATATATCAAAATAAATTAAGAATTCATTCTCAGAAAATTATTGTTGGAGCAATACATCTCCCATAAATACCAGCTCCTACAAATTTGACACTGGATGCACTTAAAAGTGGCTGAAACTGAAACTTATTTCTGTGGATATATAATTCAAATAATGATAGATAGAAAATATTCTGTGTAGTTTGTGTGTCTTGTTCGCAGGTTTGTCTTATGGGTTTTGTTTGTTTGTAGTGCAGTCCTCCTGCATTTATTATAAGAGCTTTGATACATAAACATATGTGTATAAAATTTAATGTACCTTTTGTTCAGCTATTTCTTGTCTTCTTTGTTCAAGAGCTCTCTGTTGTTCGTTTGTATGATCAATGATATTTCTACCACCCATCAGTAATTTACTCTCCATAGCCTTAAGAGGAAAAAGTAAATCTAAGTAATGTAGAGGAATTTTGAAGGCAAATTTAACATTAACTGAACATAATATAACTATATTATAATCACTATATTATTTATATACAATCTTCAGTCACAATTTCGAAATAACCATACCTTTATTTTACTTGATAAAGCATCTTTCATTTCTCTTTCTTTCATCAACTTTTCTCCTTTTTCTTTCAATTCTTCTAGAAACTTTTCTTTTTCCTGAAAGAACAGTTAATTATAATTATTGACTAATATTATTATATCCAAATACAAGCATCTATCATTTCATTTGGTGTATTAAAAAAACCCCAAAGCAAACTGTTAGGCCAATATGTACAAAGCAGGGCTTCCACTTCAAAATTTTCACTGTTGGTCATGTCATGTTTTTTATCTATGGTACAGTATTGTGAATTAATGCATCTATATGGTCAGTAAATCCATCAATATGATCTAGTTATTATTTTAATATCCACTGGTTCCTAGAATTCATACAGAGCATGGAAGACGCTTGATAGGCAAACCATGCCGAGATTGTCTTCTTTTGCCATGTGGGTTATTTTTACTAAAGTAGCTTACTGAACCTGTTATGAATAATCAGTAAGCTTGTTTTGTTTTTTTTACCAGATTATCAAAATTACCGTTAAATGTCCTAATTAGGCTACTCGTACTATGAACCACATTGCCGATTCTCACTAAGGTATGACTGTTGTAGCCGACAAGCAAGTTGATTGACTTCTTAATTAAAAAGTAATAATTAATCTGTTGTAATTTAGCCGAAGATTTATGATACCATAGTGGTCGGGTCATTGTTTTACCTATCGGCTAAACCTGACAAAAAACAGCTGATTAAGATCCCTGTTCTTGACCAATTAAATTGCTATTTAGCCTAACAAGAATATTCTCATCACCAAACTTGGTTAAATAATCTAAGTTATCGAAATCTCTTATCTCTGTTTAGCCTAAGCAGAAAAAGCTCATCTTCGAATTCAGTCAAGGCATTCACCTGACAAAACACTACATCCAGTTTGATTCGAAGCAGGGCTGTTGTGTCCCAACGGATGGACAGGACAAATAGCCCAATTTTAAAGTAGAAAAACTGACCTCCGCTATAAGTGTAGTGTCATTTAATATAGCTTTCTTTTCTTCATCTAATTTAGACTGTTGTTCCGCCATATAGGCTTCAGCATCATCATCATTACCTCCTCCTTCTTGGTCATCATCATCATCATCATCTTCTATTATTTCACCTTTATAACATATATTACAATATTACATAGTGTTTCGATTTTTCACCATACTATATAGTACAAATCACTAATAATTTTACAATAATATACCATATGAATGACAGACATTCTAAAAAAAATATGAGAAACTAACAAAACCAAATCAAAACTATTAAAAATCCATACACTATGCTGAATTTGTATGAAAGCAGTAATACTGAATTGAAACGAGATTTTCCATTTAATTTCCGGTTTAATTTTAAAAAAATAAAGTTTAAACAATTGTAAATATAATAATATCACACCATCTTTATTTCTTCTCTGTCTTCTTTTTTTCTTTTTCTTTGGTCCACCTTTAGAAGTCAGCTGATTTTTTAACCTTTTTGTAAAAAATATAAAGAGAAATCGTTTAAGATAGTAAATAAACATTAATACATGAATTGCTGCAACACACTTTTAAACGGGAATAACGTGGCTGAGTGGGTAAGATGCTTGCTCGCTGGCCTGGAGGTCGGGTGTTCGATCCCTGCATTGGCCGAGAAAGCTCATCCAGATTTTCCGGTGGGTTTCCCCTTGTCAGTGATGCAGGACGGAGGGCCTGACAAGGACAGCTGTCTAGTCGTTTGGATGGGATGAAAAACCAAGGTCCCGTGTACAAATTAGCGTGCACGTAAAAGATTCCTTGGCAGTTGGAATTCGATATAAGAGTAGGCCGTAGCTCCGCTGCCCGGGCAAAATTTCCCTCATAGCACACTGTATGGCATATGCCCGTCTTCTTTAGCCCAGTTTAGGAGCAAAACAGTTGGAAGTTAAACCCCATTTCATTTCATTTTTACACTTTTAAACCTTATTAATGTATTCAAATAAAATTAAAGGGCCAGCAAAAAAGTTATCCAATGTTAAAAAATCCTGTCATGAATCAAACTCAAAATGTTAACAAGTTAACTCCACAAAATGTGTTTGAATATGGTTTCACCTTGTGTTCAAATGAACAATTACACAACGTTTTGAAAAATGGCATTGATCAGACAGAAATCTACAGATTAGAAATGCAGGGAAATAACAAGAAAATCCACATTAAATGTGGGCATAGATTAATCAACAAACTATTGGTTTACCAATGGGAACTGATCCCGCCCCATTTATGGCAAACGCACATTTATATAAATATGATTACAAAGTAGCTAAAAGTCTAAATTATATCTTTCGATACATTGATGACATAACACCTATCAATGATAACGGAACTTTCTACAAATATAAAAGTGAAATATATCCCCCAGAACTAACATTAAATAAAGAAAATGCTGGCTCTATAACTGCATCTGTTCTTGACTTGGGTATTAATATAATTAAGAATAAATTTAATGTTGGTATTTTTCGACAAAACGGACAAAAATGGTGAAATACCTGTCAGTTTATAGTAAAATACCAGATGTCACTCTATATAATGTTTTCTATTCACAGGTATTATGATTTTTATCAATATGTAACAATAAAGAACTATTTCTCTCCCGAATAAAATCTCTTTACTTTAAATGCACTGCCAAAGGTGGAACACAATTACGTATTCTAAAAGAAATTTCAAAACTTCCATTTCTTCAACATACCAATTTGACTTTGCTTATAAGTATATAACTGATTACATATTGGGTAATGATCTAATTGAATAATCATCTCAAAATTTTGTGCAGTTTACTAATTCAATTAGAATTATTGCCCTTATTTTATACCTTTATTCAAATAAAATTTTTATAGTTTCATTTCTTCAACATACCTAGTTTGCATTTCTTATAGGTGTATTACTTATCATATTTTATGCAATTACATAGCTAAATAATTCCTATTATTAGTTCCTTAATTTATAGTTTATTAACTGTTTGGCGTTGTCTTATCTGGAGTATTGCCTTTTTTATTGTTTTTTTTTTTTTATTAAATTTAACTCATGTTGTCATTTGGCAAACTACCTCTTTTTATGTCATGTCATTCAGCAGACGACCGTTGTCGAGACAATTTGCACTTGATCCTTTGCTTCTTTGTATTCAGTATTGTTTTTTTCCTGTTTTTGTGGTATTAAGGACTTATGCCCGAACTTTGTAGTGAATACACCTCAATTCTTTCGAACGCTTATAATACTTCTCACATAACATAGATAGACCATTTAGTTGTACCTGGCTTTTTTTAAATACATTTCACCGATATGGTTACTTGTATAGGGAATTTTCCTTCATGTATTTCATGTGGCATATAGCAGATCATGATTCATACTAGTATTATACAATGTTTTTGGGATATATTCCTCCTTATTGTTATTTTTCATTTTTGAGTGAAGTCTGTATCACTATGGGCCTGGGACTATACACTGCAAAGGACGCTTACGGCTAGCCCCCGGATCCATTCACTTAATCTGATATGTACGTTTGTTTGTGATTTCTGCGTATTCTATCTTGTCCGTAAATTTCTCTTGTGTAATTGTTTGTGTGTGGTGCAGTCCACCTGCACTTACTATTAGTGTAGGAGAAAAGAGATGACAGAAGACACATTTAAAATAGTTTGTTTTCTTACCTGGCAATTTCATCTTGAAATTCACGTAACAGAGCATCTTTAGGGTCTTCATTAATTTTGGGTTTATTTTTGATATTTTTAGCTCTATTTGCATACCTGAAATAAATACAAAATATCATGAGTTCTTTTGCTAAATGATAATAATCAGGAAATTATTTTAAAACAAAATTTCAATGACTACAAAAGTATTCAATTGAGATACCATACCAAGTTCTTTTTCATTATAATTTATAAAAATAAATGTGGTTTTAATTTTTCCATAGTTAATATTACCTGAGTGTTGTAAGAGTTTCATCACAGTTATAACTAGCAGGACCTATATTAGCCACCATAACAGTTCTAGCATTACCTCCTAGGGAATCTAATTATAACACAATAACAATATTAAAATAATATCATATGTATGAATAATAAAAATCATGCACAACAGATCCTAACTAGTAGATACCAGCGGCTGCCAGGCAGGATACGCCCACATTTTGCAGAGATGGATAGAGAACAAGCTAAACAAAAAGCGATTTTTCGTACAATCAAGGACCATAATTCAGGAAGTTACGATCCGATCTGCGCAAATATCGAAAGGAACCAAGATCTTTGGGTTATTAAATCGCATAAAAATTATGACTGCGATAGGGTCCACAAGCTAAAAATGTGATTTTTCGTACAATCAGGGGCCATAATTCAGAAATGAAATGAAATGGGGTTTAACGTCCTACTGTTCTGCTCCTAACCTGGGCTAATGAAGACGGGCATACGCCATACAGTGTGCTATGAGGGAAATTTTGCCCGGGCAGCGGCGCTACGGCCTACTCTTATATCGAATTCCAACTGCCAAGGGATCTTTTATGTGCACGCCAATGTGTACACGGGACCTCATTTTTTTGTCCCATCTGAACGATGTCCTTGTGCCATAATTCAGGAAGTTACAGTTCGATATGCGTGAATATCGAAAGGAACCAAGATCTTTGGGTTATAAACTTACATTTCAAGTTTCATCAAAATCAGAAGAAAATTGTGACCTCTAGAGAGTCCACAACCTTGATATATCACATTTTTACACTATTTGAGTACAAGGGGCAGCCATTTTTCTGGCAGTTTTGGTCCTATTTTTACAACCATCATTAGAGTGTAACGGTGATATATTTAAACGTTTTTTTAAATCGCATAAAAATTATTACTGCAATAGGGTCCACAAGCTAAAAATGTGATTTTTCGTACAATCAGGGGCCATAATTCAGGAAGTTACAGTCCGATATGCGTGAATATTGAAAGGAACAGAGATCTTTGGGTTATAAACTTACATTTCAAGTTTCATCAAAATCAGAAGAAAATTGTGACCTCTATAGGGTCCACAAGCTAAAAACTTGATTTTTCTTACAATCAGGGGCTATAATCCATGAAGTTTCGGTCCGATACATGCCAATATCGAAAGCAACCAAGATCTTTTGGAGATAAACCTAAATGTGGGCGTATAAAAATACAAAAACCATTGGACAAATTTTGTACAATTAAGCAGTAAGATAACTCTTTCAGTGCCCAGGTATCTCAAAGTGGTTTAATAATAAATGCCCAGATTTTGGCTGCGTATATCCTGTCTGACAAAATTAAATAAGCATGTTATACTCCCAAAAGTGGTCTTATTTTGATCCTCTAGATATCATTAACACTTACTTTGTAAAGTCAATGATAGTTTTTATAGTGAAGCACTTCTTATTGCAAAAAGGAGTATTCTGTAAAGTCAATGATAGTTAATGCATTTAATGCAGAATGTGCCCAAATCTTTTCTGACAACTATGCATTTACTATGAACATTTCTGCAAGTTTCCGATGGTGGGCATATGTTAGCTAGAGAATAAGACTTGGACCACCTCCACCACGGTACATGTAAGTAACTCATATTTTTTAGAACTAAAATAAAGTACATTGTATTTGAATGCTGTTGGTACTCATGGACTACATTTGCTGTTCAAAATAAGATTGTAAATGTATGAATTAGGCACTGAAAGAGAATTGTAGTTTATGTCAATGAAAGAAGTTGTGTAAGATTAATGTACTACAAACCTTGCAATAATCTAGTAAGTTTAGAATCTCGATATGGTATATGTGTACTTTTACCATCAACTAAAGCAGATATAACATTACTTAGTGCTGATAATGATAAATTGATCTTAGTAGCTTCCTTTAACCTATCACCCTAAAAAAACAAACAAGCATCATCCGAATTGCAGAAAAAATTATAATTTAGGATAAAATACACACATCTATTTATACTCATTTAGTTAATTCTTGTTCGCAACAATATGGACAAGACCAGTGTTTAAAATTCGGCAAGAAAGTTGTAAGCCAATGGGAACCGCTGGTAGACACCATTCATGAAAATTGTAGGTCCTAACATGAATTTTTGGGCCCAATAAATATTAACAAAACACACACACAAACTCACACCACCCTCAATGCCTTGAATTTCTATGTTCTGTAGATGTTTCCTAGTCATTTGGTACAGGTTTAAAGTTTGAATATGTATTCAATATTGAACGTTTATCTCTACATTTGAAGGACTTAATACTTAATTTTTCTGTAATAAATAAATATTTATATGTAATAATTATAGTGGTTATATGTACCGGTAGGTCTACTTTATAGTACTGAAAATGTATCTCGAAATTCCATTTACATAGAAATCTGAAGATTTCGTATTAAAATGGCCCTTAACACTCTCCTAAAATAAACAGATTGCGCATTTAGATGAAAGGAAATGAAACTAGTGTTTAAGGCCCTACCAAACATAGATAAACATGTCTTACATTTCCATAAACCTATTAAATTTACTGTCTGGTCGCTACAATCGTTTGATTCGTTTCATTCATGACGTGTGGAACTGTGATATGAAAGACCATAACCTCTTTCAATATTATCATTATTCAACAGACCTGATGTCACACATGGTCATAGCTTATATTTATGAAACGATAAATTCTTTGTTATTCTTCCTATATCAAATATTGTAGTGCCTGTTTTCAAAGACTACGGTCTCCAGTAGGGTAATGAAATCTTCATTAAAGAAATACATTTGATAATTGAGTCTACTATTAAATCATGAGCGTAAGAAAGAATGGCGGGAAAGGCCACTTGTTTTACCTTGCTGGAATTATATTGTTACCGGTAGTTAGGCTTTCAAGGATTTTTCAGCTCTGGTTTTTTAATTTTATATTTACAAGACAAAGGATTTATATCACATGAATTTTTATTCTTGGATTCATGACAGTACAGTAGTTGGACTGACCTAGTTTAGTAGCATACATCTTCGGATCTCACCACTGAAGGAATATAATATGCCAGATTGTGCATGTGTATTCAATATCGGATAAAGACAAATAAGACAGTAAGGTATACTATCGGAGCACACACTCATCTATTCCACACTTGATCAAAATGGTTAAATAATATTCAGCCAAACTTTGGGAGCGTGCTGATATTTGCAAGCACAAACTCTATCCCACAATGATAATTTCTTTCGGTGGACATGTTTATTCTTATTTCTAATAATGGAATACTGTTAAATATCTGGATGAAATACAATGATAATTTCTTTCAGTGGACAAGTTTATTCTCATTTCCGATATATTTGTTTCGGATATAAATTGGGACAATATAATATAAATATTTGATAGAAGCAAACAAAATATCCATGACACATATTTTTTATGACAAAAAGTCTGCGCACAGGACTGACCCACCATCTTAAAATAAAAATATGTTGGGCCGTTCAGTTATTTATCGGCGCCGGACCGACTTGAATTTTAAACAGTGGACAAGACACATTTTCCACAAATTTATATTAATTGTCAGAGTAAGAACTTCATGAATTGCATACATTATTTTCATTCTGACAATAGTGGATCTCGACCACTGTGTTTTATACTTGGTGGCACATTGTATGTGGTTATAAACTACTTTTTATTGGATTTTAAAATTATGTACAGGTTTTCTGCATAAAAATGAACTAAATGATAACAGCATCATTACACAACAAATATAGTCGACTGTATAAATCATTATAAAATAAATCTAGTTGATACTTACAGTTGCACCTGTTTTAGCTTGTCTTTCACTACCAGCTAAATCTACCATATTTAATTTACCAACACGAATATGATTTTCATTATCTACACCTATCTCACTACATTCCACTGTTACAATAAATATAGCATGAGATCGTGAACTATGAGCATTCATATTCGTGGCTCTGAAACATAAATACACAATAAATGTACACCAAACATGGATTATAAAACAAAGATAGGTTGCCAGACAACAAAACATACGCCCACAGCAGCTAAATCGTTAGAGCGGTATGTCAAGTATCAGGAGCCCATCCAGCACTGTTTGGGGCGGTACAAAAACTAGCGGTTGCCAGGCAAGATATGCCCACATTTTGCAAGAGATGGATAGAGAACAAGCTAAAAACAAAAGCGATTTTCCTACAATTAGGGGCCATAATCCAGAAAAGTATAGTCCGAAGTGCACAAATACGGAAAGGTACTAAGATCTTTGGGACATAAATTCCAAAATAAATAGATGACACATATTAATGAATCTCACATTTATTTTTTTTTCAAAAGCATCAAACAATCAAACTGATTATCAACTATACACTAAGTTTCATCACTTTCTATCACAAGTTATCTTGTCCCAAAGCTTACTGTCTGATTCATCGTAAATTTTAAACGGATTTCTTCGATTATGAACAAACTACTTAACTTTGGTTATTATAAACTTACCTGTGTGTTTGTAATGAACTCCCGTTCGATAAAATCCATTGCACAACTAATTATCACAACGATGAGAACAATTTCTCTCTTGAAAAATTTGAAAATTTACTTGTAATTTCGACAGAGTCGATGTCAACAATGTCTTCGTGACGTATTGGTCGAATCCAATATACCTGTTGCGGGGGTTGGTTAACATTGAAAGATAGTTTGACAGCGCGATCATTTTAATCGTATATGGGTTTGGGCGACGAAAAATATCAATTGAAGGCAATTACATAGGAGATTTATATGGAAACCATTGATCGCCAGTCTATCAAATTTTCTTCACAATTAAAATATCACTGATTGCACGGATACTCGTAAAAATAAAGTCATAAATAAACTATAAATATCCTATCTTCTTTATGTTATAAATAATTTAACAAGGATCATGAAGCTTACCTCCGAATTCTCTGAGTGTATTTTTAATTTTATACGCATTCTTTCGATCGAATAATAACCGCTTCAGTAACATCTTTAAGCGTGTTGCGGCAGCCCTCAGCGTGTCTATTGCCGTATTGGGTGCCCGGGTGGGTATATAATGCTACTAAGCCCGTATGACCCCGTAAGAAGCGGAACATTAATTCTCGATTCGACAGTTTTGACCGAAGTGTGATAAAGCCCGTAAAACGAATGTATAGTTGTGTTTGTGCGGCATGCGTGTTCAAAAGTAAGTAATCCCATCCGAGTCGCTAATCAAATAATTAGAACAAAATATTTCAAAAAGTAAAGCTATAAAATTTGCAGAGATTTTACTAGAATGTAAAAGACGGTAACTAAATACAGGAATGCGGGTAGTTATGTGTGCGAACGCTCAAACTCAATGCCAATTGTCGTAGGTATCCAGACCACTCGGACCAAAGACTACTCGGACTAAGACCAGTCGGACCAAAACAAGACCAGTCGGACCAATTAAATTATATTATAAGGCTAGACAATATGCTATTTATTTATTATTAAATCACAATACAAAGAAGCAAATAATTCTTATACGGAATTCTTATATTTAGAGTTGTTTGGTTCAATTTTGTGTACGTAAATAAATCAACGATTAGTTTTAAAATTAATTAATAATGGTGCCAAAAAAAAATATCAATCTAATTTTTCTTTACTCTTGCAATGAGACTCGGTATGTCCAGACTTTTGACAGTTTCTACATATACGGGTATACTGTTCTTGTCTGATAGCCTAATTTTACTTTTTCCACATTCGCGGTATCCCCAGTGGTTTCATTCCGTTCTACCCCACTAACCCCTGGGTTACTATATATGGGGGGGGGGGGGGTGGAGACACGTTTTCAAGTTATCCGCCCTTGATGCGTTAATATAAACAGCACATAATAATACGAAGACTGGACGTTTATATGCCCCTTTTTAAACGTGACTACAAGTGTGGTTCTCGATATTTTGCGATTTGGAATACAATTATCAATTTATTCAAACAACACGTTATTATTAGTTCGAGTAGTCATATTAAAACACACACAATTATCAATTTATTCAAATAACACTTTATTATTGGTTCGAGTAGTCATATTAAAATAAACACAATTATCAATTTATTAAAATAACACTTTATTATTGGTTCGAGTAATTATATTAAAACAAACGCAATTATCAATTTATTAAAACAACATTTTATTATTGGTCCGAGTCGTCTTTCTGTTGGGTCCGAATAGTCTTTTTGTATGGTCCGAGTAGTCTATTTGTTTGGGCTGAGTGGTCTATCACTTGGTCCGACTGGTCTTGAACCGAGTGATCTTTGGTCCGAGTGGTCATGGATTCTTGTCGTAATTGTACTTGAATTTCCTATGCTGTCACCCCTAATACGAAATGATATCTTCCGCAGAGTGACGTAACCATCTTCCATATTGGTATTTTTCTCTGGGAAAAGTTTGTGATATTTCAATTTTTCAAGAGAGAACTTGTTTTCATCGTTGTGATAATTAGTTGTGCAATGGATTTTATCGAACGGGAGTTCATTACAAACACACAGGTAAGTTTATAATAACCAACGTTAAGTAGTTTGTTCATAATCGAAGAAATCCGTTTAAAATTTACGATGAATCAGACAGTAGCTTTAGCTTGAAATGTTAATCATTAAGCTTGGTCAAGACATTCACCTAATGAACATCTACATCAAGTTTAAACATTCTACCTCAATTAAAAGCAGAGTTGTTATGTTCCAAAGTGTTGACCAATCAAATTGCTTATCGCTCCTTAGCCTAAGCAGAAAATTCTCATCATCGAACTTAGTCAAGGTAATGATATGATGATTCTATACTGGGAGTTTCATCACTCTCACTTAATCATAACCAAAGTTATAGTACCCCAAAGCATCAACCAATCAGATTGCTTATCTCTGCTTACCGTAAGCAGAAAATTCTCATCTTCGAACTCCATCATGGCATTCACCTAACAAACATCTACGCCAAGTGCAAACATTCTAGCTAAATTAGAATGAAAGTTATTGTGTTCCAAAGTCTCGACCAATCAAATTGCTTATCGCTCTGCTTACCATGAGCAGAAAATGCTCATTATACAGCAAATTTCACTTTCATTTAATTAGAACTAAATTTATCGTGTCCCAAAGCATCAACCAATCAAATTGCTTAACTCTGCTTACCCTAAGCAGAAAATGATCATCTTCAACTCCATCAAGGCATTGACCTAATAAACACCTACACCAAGTTTGAACACTCTAGCTCAATTAGAAGGAGAGTTGTGTCCCAAAAAGTGTGACGGGCAGACGGTCGGACAGACGAATCCATTTTAATAGTCCCCTGCTTTCTTCGAAAGGCGGGGGACAAAAAATATATAATTTTTTCACTCACCCAACAGATCTATTCTGATTACCTACATGCATAACATGTTCAATTTCTTTTACACTTTTAGTTACAAATGATGATAAATCCTGTAAATAAATAATAATTTTACACAATAAAACACAGAAAACAATATGTGGGTACTTTATTCAATCATTTATTTATTTTTTTCTACATTCCTAATGAGAATTTTCCAAATGCAATGTTACTACAAATTTAAATTTTTGGACCATGAACCGGTGCCCAACAGCTACTCATCTTGTTATTGTTCTTGGGGGTGACACTCTTTGTACGCGTTTCCACCGGCGAAAAGGTTGGTCTAAAGCAAATGTAAGGGTTTCTGCACATGGAAAAAAGTTTGCTGGATAAGCGACTCTTCCGCAATTTGCGTACAAAGAGCGTCCATTTTGTCTGGCAGTTTCATTTCGATTTTCCCGAAATTCGAATTCAACCTTCATTATGGTGGAATGGTGAAATATTGAAATGGTTTTTAAAATTGGAAAAAAAATTTGTGACATGTAGAGAATCCGCAAGATAAAAATGTGATTTTTCGAACAATCAAGTTTCATCAAAATCAGATCAAAATTGTGACCTCTAGAGGGTCCACAACTTTGATACACCAGATGTTTACACTAATTGTGTACGAGGAGCGGCCATTTTGTCCGGCAGTTTTGGTCCGATTTTCACGAAATTCAAATTCAACCAAAATCACAGTGTAACAGTGACATATTTGAGCGTTTTTTTAAATTGGATAATAATTGTGACATCTAGAGGGACCCTCAAGCTAAAAACGCCATTTTTCGTACAATCAGGGGCCATAATTCAGGAAGTTACGGTTCGATACATGCCAATATCGAAAGGAATCGAGATCTTAGGGAGATAATCCTATATTTCAAGTCTCATTGAAATCGGATAAGAATTGTGAAGTGTAGAGTGTCCACAAACAATTGTGGACGGACGGATGGAGATAAACCTATATTTCAAGTTTCGTTGAAATCGGATAAAAATTGTTACCTGTAGAGTGTCCACAAACAATTGTAGATGGACGGACAGGGGCGACGACAATTTACGTCACATGAAAATGTGGGTATACAAAAAAATCGTGCTCAAAAATGAGTACATGGAAAACGGGCCTACGATTTTACCAATTCATGTAAATTGACATGAAACTTGCATCAATATTCTGCGATTATGTTATACTCAGTTCCTGGTTCATTGTAGGTGGTACTTGTTTAAACATATACAGATTTAAGTCAGTTATAGTTTAAATTATTACCTTCACATAGATGCCTGTATCAGGTCTTTCCTTTAAATCTAATCTTTTAGATTGATCCTTTGACAATAAATCTCTTATATCCTCCTGTAAAATGTTAATGTCAGTAAAGCTAAATAGCCATGCTGAATAAAATACTTGAATACACAAATATATCTACATAAACTTTTTCATGGTGTCAATTTTTCACCTAATTGTCAACAACATTTATAGCAAATATGACTTTCAGTTTGCACATTCTAGTTCAGGCATACTTGTAATGTGAAAACAGAAAATGGAAGTGAAATCAAATGAAGTTATAATATCACATGCATTATTAAGGCCATTTTAATACTAATTACGTCTAATTCAAGATTACAAAAAAGTTTCCGAACTATACAGCAAATATCCAATGTCATATTGTGTAAGCCTGTTTCTTAAACAGAAGTTTGAAAAAATGTTGTGCTAATTGTAACGTCAATGCATTGTCATCTAAGACAATATAAGTTCAATAAGAACCATGGTATCTACTAGTGCTGAAATGTATTAAAATAAACTAACCTGATAAATTTCTAAGTATGATGCACGTACTAAATATTGTTGATTTTGTGAGCGGGAAATATGTTGAAAAATCTGTTCAAAGGAATTAGGTATAACACCTCGTAATTCTGGGTCTTCTTTTATACCTGTATAAAGATTTGTAAAATACAAATTACAAATATATGAGGTTATTTTAAAGAATATATTCAATTACCAGTATCTCAAACAAAAAATTACTTATAGTATTTATAAAATATGTCATTATACAAAAGAATATAACCAAACATTATAAAGTGTGCCTCGCTTATGTGTGGTTTAATGATCGAGAGCGAGACATTAATTAATATATTGATACTTTCTTTTAATCTATTTTCTTACTGCTGAGTGTGTGGTTTAAAATTCAAGACAGCGACATAAATAATATATTGATACTGCACAAGGATGTTGGCCGAGTGTTTTTCAATATATAAACACAATGTCTTGCTTAAGACTATTATGCAATTAAAAAATACAGACAATATCCCACACATGCATTTCAATGAAATTGCCACCGTATTTCATCTGGTATAAAATAATGTATGATTGGCAAGTTGCCCGTACATTATTTGAAATAATGATATGCCAACATCAAATGATGACATCACATCTGTATTTTAATGCTATAAAAGTCTGGACTCATGTTCCTTAAGCAATGGCCAGAGATATCCCTCTCTGGCCATTGCTGGATTGACTTCTAATACTTGAGCTTTTGAGGGAGTGTTTTTATTCTTCCTGTTCAATAAAATCTCTCCTAAGTATTGAAACATGACAGCCCTTCATTTAATCTGGGGTCTACCCTAAAACTTTGGACAGTGATTTAAGATATTAAAAACGATGAAGCAGTATTGTTTACATTGTAGCCGTTTTGTTTTTCTGCAATATTCTGCTATGTACTGGCTAATTGGCGTAATAAATTTCATGAGTCATGACGTAAAGTTATGTAAACATATCTGGAGCTCTGTTTAAACCTGAATGATATTGTTATGCAGTTAGGTATTGGTTGTTAATCGAACTATTGACCAGTCATAATTTTGAACAGAAATTTGCTTTCATTACAGCAGTGTTTGAGTGAGATTAGATCTAATCAAATGAAACACTGCGAGCAGTATGGTCTGGACTATGATATAAACATGTTTACCTATATAAGTCAGATGATTTCTATTGACTACAGAAAGGTGCCTTTATGGTTATATGAAAACAACTAATGATCGAGATTATTTTGTCTACTTGCACAGAACTCTTAAGATAAGCTTACCTTGCATAGTAAAGGTTTTACCAGTTCCAGTTTGTCCATAAGCAAATATAGTTCCATTAAAACCTTGTAATACTGATTCAACTAAATCATGAAATGTTTCATCATATAAATCACGTTGTTTTGAGCTACAATAATAAAATTGCGACAAAAGCCTATATGTTTGATTTGCATTTTTAGGAAAATATCAAATTTCTCACAGTTTAATCCATGCTAAATGTACTCAAATTGATTATTCAACAAAATAAAAACATCAATGGTAGACAGTCTCCAGGTTTAGATTAAATCATATTACAAAAAGGCCACCATAGGGTAATGGACAAACGTCGTTATAACATATATTATGATCCAAATGACCAAAGATTAAACTAAATTAAAACAACTGAATAAGTTCTTTTTATTTAATAAGAATCCAGTGATATATATATAGAGATAAAATCAAACAAAAGTTTGACTATGTTGAATCTGGGTCATTTTGGTTTATGTCCGATTTAACCATATCCAGTTTTTATCATCTGTGGAGGATGTCGAGTGTTACAAAATTTTCAAATCATCATATCTTTGTATATACTGAATGGAACTATTAAAATGGTGGTATGCCTTAAGCTTTTAGAGATTCAACTTTTACAATATTGTAGTGTGAATGGGATTAACACGCCTTTAAATGAAGTTCAGAGACATTAAAGAGGATATTAAAAAAATGTTTTGAATATAGGTTTTCCTGTATTCTCAACTTATCGCTTGAACTAATAAATTTATTAGACAATGTAATACATACATACTTCCAATCATAAACTGAATCAAATGTAAAAGTTTTAGGTGGATCTCCAGGATTATTTATATTTTTTACAGCTATAACACCTTTATTTACATCCATTTCTACCACACTGTAAAATATAAAACATGACAATAAATATTATATTCCATAAAATATTTGTTTTCTAATCCTAAATTAGTATAATTAGAGCACCCCATACAGCCAGAAATGGGCTCTAATAAAACTTACTTCACTGTGATTACAAAATAGGTCCAGTGAACATGCATTGTGTGCAGTAGCTACAATATAACAGAACACAATTTTTATGGGAAATAATCACTAATTACATTCTAAAAACTCAATGTTTCGACAAGTATCCTCTTATCGTTATCAAGCACAATGATAAAGCTTGATAATAATAATAAGAAAATTGTCGAAACATTGAGCTTTTAGAATAAAACTAGTGATTATTTCCCATAAAAATTGTGTTCTGTTAATGTTTTTCATGATCCTAAATGCCACTTAACGATAAAACTACAATGTAGCATTTGGATATAAACCAAAATGCACACAACACTCTTTATACATCTATCATTTAAGGCCAAGAATATCTAACATTAATGAGTCTGAATTAGCGGTACAGTAATATTTTTCAATTCAAATGTATTCTAATAATTATTGATAATTAAGCGTGGAGATTATTTGGTACCATAGCCTACTCTCTTACTATAACAAACAATTATAACAAGAGAGAGAGAGAGAGAGAAATGGGGTTTAACGTCCACTCGACACAAACTAGGTCATTTTGGGACTAACATATGGTTTAATTTTATTTACATAATTCGCTTGCGCGTAGGGGTCTTTAGCAGTGGGAGGAAACCGGAGGACCCATATAAAACCCACGAGGTTGGACAAGCGACCCTACTCCATGTCACGTACAAACGGGGATTCGAAACCACGCCAGTCGACTCAATGACAGACTTTATGATACAGTGCGTGCACGCTAACCATTCAGCCATCCAACCCCCCACAATTATAACAAAATCTACATCTACTATACTATTGTAAAATATAATACATGCCCAACATGGTGATCAGCTGTCTCTTTTTCATTCATTGGTCGGCATCTCACAACCACTTTCACACATTCCGCAGATTTAGGCTTTGACTAAAACAAATTTATACATAAAAACTACATCAGAACTTACAGTTATTATAAAAGTGGTATGAAAAAAGTAAACATAAATATTTTCGATTTAATTTGTACACTGTGTAAAGACTTGATATATTAATACAGTCTAATAAAAGTATTTGCTGTGAACAAAATTTTGTCTGGATAGTTGCACTATGGCCCACACTCATTCTGAATTCCAAGTGTCAACTAGGGTTCTTGGACGTGCACATCAATGTGTACTAATAGTATGTTTATTACAGTCATTACTTTAGGCAAATAAAAACGTGTCATACAAACCATTTTTATCAATTTCTGTTTTTGCCTCGTAACTAATAAATTATCACAGATAATGCTATATCTTGAAAAAAAAAAAAAAACGATACAAATTTATATAGTTTTAAACAGAAGACATAATGTTGTTTTATTTACAATCTTCAAAAATGGCGATGAATTTTCAACTTTTATGGTGGGTTGGGTGTGTTTTTATTGTCTACAGTAAGGTAAGGGTTCGGGTTCATTCATTTTTTTTTGTGCTGAAATTAACAAACCCTTGTCTTATTATATCAGTCTACCAGACAACTGAGACCAATAGAAGACCACTCCGACCAAGACAGAAGACCACTTGGACCAAGATTAGAAGACCACTCGGACCAACAAATAAATTTATAGTTGTATTTGTTAATACATTTGTTTTCGAGGACCACTCAGACCAATGTTTTTGAAATAATAAAGTGTTGTTTTTTAATAAATTTGTAGTGTTGTTAGGAACGTCCTAGCTCTACCAGTCTTACCAGCAGGATACATTTTACCGACATTTCATAAATTAGAAGAAAAGGCTGATAATGATCAAATAAAAGAAGTTATGGGATATATTTATGAAACTTGGATGACTGGTGCTTTTATGGAGTTGATACAGTACTATCCTGCAGAGGAGCGTCTTTGGGACGACGATCCGAACCAACGACAACTTTGAGGGTGGCATAATAGAATTTTTCAGAAGGCGGAGAAAGGAAATTTGCGATTTTTACCTCCTGCTCACCCTGTTATACAATGAGGCAGCGCATTGCCTACACAAATTAAAACAGTATCTGACAGTAAACTAAAACGACACGAACAGAAACAGAAGTGATCAATACAATATAAACTATTCAATTTATGGAAGTCATGCATGAAGGAGACGATAAGCACAACACAGCTCACAACACAGCTCGTGAACAAAGGTGGTGACATCTATGGACCTACAAATTGAAGAACCAGTAAATAAAAATAATGAAAAAATAAAAGACAGGTTGCCAAGCAACGAAACATACGCCCACAGCTACTAAATCGTCTGAGCGGTTGACAGGGGTCGTCGCATATTTATTCATTTGTAAGGGCATTTAATTAGGGGCATTTAAAAGACAATTTCATACAGATGACATTATAATTTTCATCGTTTGAGGGTTCACAAACTTCTAATAACTAAAACAAAGGCCTTAACTCTGGAAGTAATCTACAGAAATTGTTGAAATTTGACAGGCTTTTTCGTTTTACTAATCCAAATAATGCATATGAATTTCATACAGATTGAATGATAACTTTTGTCATTTGAACCTTCACAATGTTCAACAAAGTAAAACAAGGGCCATAACTATAGAAGTAATTTACGGAAATTACTAAATTCAATAGGCTTCTTCATTTTACTAATTTAAACGATGCATATAAAATTCATACAGATCGGATGATAATTTTTGTTGTTCGAGTGTTTACAAGGCGCAACAAAGTGAACAAGGGCCATAACTCCAGAAGAAATTAACGGAAATTATTGAAATTAAATAGGCTTTTTCATCTCACTAATGTAAACAACATATCTGAATTTCAAAACAATCAGATGATAATTGTAGTCCATAGAATGTTCACAAGACATTGTGGACAACGGATGGACTGGGTCACGGGTGGGGGTAATATATGACCACATTTCCATGTGGGCGTATAAAACTGTATTTCGATGAAATAAAAAGAAATAATGAAAATTTTTATTAAAAATGTATTATTTAATAAATTGTTTATATAATAAAGATTAATTATTTTAGATTTATTTTTTGTATTAATTATTGGTGCAACAAGCATGAATTATATCTATTTGATGTTATTATTATGTACTTACCTGTAAAATAAATAATAAAGATAAATAAATAACACTATATTTTGTAGTATTTTATTTTAATTTGGTCCAAGTGGTCTTCTACCTGACCATGGCACACATGTACATGTATCAAAACAAACTCAGTAGTAATCATAATAACACAACTTTATGGATTTACTACTTCTTGGTTTATTACATGCAACGTTTCAATACTCTTACAGGTATCTTTATCAAGCAATGATCAATAATGAATAACAACTCTACATTTATAGTACATCCATGAGTAAGAACCATTTAACAATAAAAACATAACATTAATTAAGACTATAACAACAAACATTTCCCTTTGAGTATGGCTTTACCATTTTTCTTCAATCTAAGGTGTTAAAAGTGGGGATTGAAGCCACCGCCTAAGCTAAAATGCAATCAAAACCCATTAACCACACCATCAAATATTTAATATGACTAATTTCAATACATTATGCATAATTAGTTAGGTTGAACCCACCCCCTCTTGCTCATACATTTACCATATTATTATATAGAAAATTTTTAATTAATAATATGGTAAATGTATGAGCAAGAGGGGGTGGGTTCAACCTAACTAATTATGCATAATGTATTGAAATTAGTCATATTAAATATTTGATGGTGTGGTTAATGGGTTTTGATTGCATTTTAGCTTAGGCGGTGGCTTCAATCCCCACTTTTAACACCTTAGATTGAAGAAAAATGGTAAAGCCATACTCAAAGGGAAATGTTTGTTGTTATAGTCTTAATTAATGTTATGTTTTTATTGTTAAATGGTTCTTACTCATGGATGTACTATATAATAATATGGTAAATGTATGAGCAAGAGGGGGTGGGTTCAACCTAACTAATTATGCATAATGTATTGAAATTAGTCATATTAAATATTTGATGGTGTGGTTAATGGGTTTTGATTGCATTTTAGCTTAGGCGGTGGCTTCAATCCCCACTTTTAACACCTTAGATTGAAGAAAAATGGTAAAGCCATACTCAAAGGGAAATGTTTGTTGTTATAGTCTTAATTAATGTTATGTTTTTATTGTTAAATGGTTCTTACTCATGGATGTACTATAAATGTAGAGTTGTTATTCATTATTGATCATTGCTTGATAAAGATACCTGTAAGAGTATTGAAACGTTGCATGTAATAAACCAAGAAGTAGTAAATCCATAAAGTTGTGTTATTATGATTATTATACCTCTACTTCTAAATGTCATTCAAGAAAACTCAGTAGTATTTTACTTTAATTTTGTCCCAGTGGTCTTCAATCTCGGACCATGTATTAAAACAAACACAACTATCGTTAATGAGTAGTATTTTATTTTAATTTGGTGCTAGTGGTCGTCTATCTCGGATCATGTATTAAAACAAACACAATAATCGTGGTCCAAGCGGTCTGTCTTGGTCCGAGTGGTCTTCTATTGGTCGGAGTTATCTTTGGTCTGAGTTGTCATGCATTCCATTTAAATTAGGAATATCTTAATTTTGAGATGCATTATTACAATAAATGAGTCTGCAAGGTGAAATCGAAGGCCTCCAGTATGGGTTTGAGCAGAGCAAAGTCCAAGGTGGAGACAATGTCAAGTTTGGCTTGAGGTCTGGGGGACTGCCAGAGAATTTTAGGTGCATGTATAAGATTAGAATGGAGTTAGGCCAAAAAGGTGTCAATCCTTCGCACGTTTGTTTGTTCAACATTATTTTGAATAATATGAGAAATTTTGATAAATGTAGGAGAAAAAAATATGCTCTGCGCAAGCAAGGGAAGGGCCCGGTGACCCCCCTTTGGACACGCGCCTGATTTACCTAGGCCCAATACAATCGGCTCAATCATGTTTTAATGCTGAAAAGTTAAAATATATGTTCACTTGATTGATCCATCTGTAAACATTATAAAATAAACAAAACCCAAAAAAAACTCAGTTGGCCAGTTCACCAAACTAAACACTTTTTCATCATGTACGTTTGGCTGTTTTGAAAGGTTTATCGAACCTATATAACTATTTTAAACCTACCGGTAACAAACAAACATCTAGCTCTTGGGCATAGATTATTTATCCCCCCCCCCCCTCAGCCCACGCCACTAATCTAATGCAAACCACTAATGCATGTGCCATGTGGCACTCTGACGATTACTTTGCTCCAATCTATGCCCCCCCCCCCCTCTAGACAAAATTATGGATCCGTGCCTGACTAGGGTTAGGGTTAACCTAGTTCCTTTAACCCTAAACTTTGCCGATGGATGGAGGACTCTGAAAGCATAGCCTGAGGATTATTTTTACGACTAGTCTTTACAATAGCCACTGCGTTATTTAATTTTAAACTATACTTTTTAGTTAGGTCCTAAGACTTATTATATTAGCCTATGGGCATGATATAGGCTATTCATTGAGTTTTGAGACAGTCGTTGAGGTTGAGGCAAGCAAGAGAAAATCCGATTAATTACGATCAAACTAATAGTGTTACGAAAATTGCTACAATTCCAATACCACCATGTTATCGTTAGATTAAATATGTACAAAATGAATTCATATACCATAATAAATCTCATAGAAATTCAATCAGTTCATCAGTCCGATTATTATTATTTTCTCGATTTTTGTCAACATAACTATTTCTTACGCATGCGTTCTGTAAAGGAAACTACTTTCTATAATGGGAGACCACTACAAGGTGTATGGATGCAGACCACTATGGATTTTATATAATGCTCCATCTGTTTGGCGAGTGGCGACCCCACTTTCATATGTTTGCGCCATATTATCCGTTGCATAGTTTTTATTAATTACCGATACAATCATTCCCAGCAAACAGATATAGGAAAAGAAAGAACCCTGCGCGCACGCAGCCAAATAATTTGTTTTACCCCTTTATAAAGCTTGATAGGGCTATATTAGTACAAATAATATAATACATACATATGCCCTTTGAGATTTTCTAACATTTTATATAATATATTGATAAATCAGTAGTAAGTTAATTGCATATTTCTTGTGACCCAGCAGGTCGAGTAAAGGTAGTACCAAATGTACAATTGTCAATTAAACGTCTTTGAAATAACAAAACTTTATGAAACAACGAAACACAAGAATTCAGAATCTGTTTCACTATTAAAGTTGCTAGTTTGTGTTCAGTAGCGGATCTAGAAGCTGTGAAAAAGAGAGAGGTGGGCGCCATCCACAACACCATCCCACAATCAATGTCAACAAACTGCCTAATAAAATACATAAAATAACAATGAGCCCCGGGTAGAACATAGTTGCCTATATATAGTTGTTTGGCGATCGTTATCGCCGGAAAGTAGTTTTTTTTAAAATCATGTTGACATAAAGTTCATGTCATCTTATGATTGTTATTGATTTTATTATTTATTTATTTATTTTGTGTGTGTGAACGCTAGCGGCGCTTACTTGGTCTCAAGGGAGCTTACTTGTTCGAGCAATATAATGTTTCCCTATACCACAATTGTTCTTAAGCTTGTTTAGACAAGCCTCCTTCTAATATGTTTTTCACAGCTTACGCACTAACTTATGTATAGGATATTAATCTATCCGAGGATGATATGATAGAGAGCACGCGGCCGGAGCCCAAGTGTTCTCTATCACACTCTATCATATCAATCCGTGGGTGTGTGGGTGTGTGTGTGTGTGTGTGCGGGGGGGGGGGGTATATCCGACATATACAACGTCATAGATTTAATCGTCCTTAAACTTAATGGACTCTTCCATTTGAAGTCAACAATGATTATATAATTTCCGCCAAATAACGAAAATTACCAAACTTAATCACGTGAATGTACATGCAGGTTTCTTTCAAGCTACTTTCTCCCCATTTTGGAGTCTCTATACAGGTTCATATGAAATGAAAGCAAAAATGAAATGAATAGTAATACTTTATCAGACGAAGAATTGATCCTTTTAGCCAACAGATTGAAGGCGAAATAGACGTGAATGCAAATTCCGACGAAGATCTACTAGTTGCTAGTCAAAAAGCTGAAGAAAATTTTGATCAGACAGAAGGCAATGTGTTCTGATTTTTCTGACTGTGAACGTGAAAGTTTTTTAGTATGTTCAGAGAAGGATTTGATGGACTGTGTTAAGGGGGCTGTCCCCAAAAATCAGGGGCGTAAATGTGGGGGTGTGGGGGTTGTAGGAAGAAAAATAGTCGGTCGCAAAATCAGTGCAGTCGGTCGCAAAATAAGAGCAGTCGGTATCAAAATAAGTGCTCACTGCACACGTCACGCTAATCACGCAATACTTTTGTATAAAATAACCTTGTCAACTTATCATGTTTGAAAAAATGTTGTGTTTCACTCTTATTCTGTTGTGAGTATGTTGGTCTATGAACAAAATTTTCACCAGGGGGAAAAATAGTCGGTCTCAAAATAAGTGCAGTCACTGCAGTCGGTCTCAAAATTATGCATCGGCGACTCAATGAATTAATGAGGCAAACAAACAATGCCAGAATAGATCCCAAATACTATATATTTGTGTGAATCCGTGAGTCTAAATTGCATACGCCACACAAAACTATAGTATAAAATAACCATGTCTGCTTGTCATGTTTGAAAAAATGTTTGTCACTCTTATTCTGTTGTGAGTATGTTGTTCTATGAAATGTTTTTCCCCCATGGCAAAAAAATTGTCGGTCTCAAAAAAAGTACTCACCGCAGTCGGTCTCAGACTAAATGAATTAATGAGGTAAACAAACAATTACAAAACAGGCGAAATTGACAGATAGGCCACAAGATTCTGTCTCATTTCTTATCCTCTCGTTAGCGAGAATTTGGTTCCATTTGCCATGACAATGACTAAAATTTTCAGGCCCAGTCCCGAAAAATTAAAAGCTCGGTTAAAAGCTCAATATCGTTATAACATTATTCTTCTATTCCTCTGTTTTCTTATACTGTCTCAGCAATATCATATTCACGGTTATAGTGAACTGCCCAGTTATACTGGTGTGTGGGGCGTCAGACTATACAAATGTTACTAGTATGTCAACTCTTGCAAAACAGGCGGAATTGACAGGGGCAGATCTCGAAATTCTGTTTCATTGGCTCACATTTCTGGTCCTCTCGTCCACAAGACTTTCTCCCAGCAATGACCTCAAATGCTAGAATATTGACTCAATTTTTCAAAATTTTCTCAGGTTGCTCAGTGTTATAGGCACAATCATCATATATGACATATACTTTATGTCAACTTAAATAAAACTGCTCTCCGGCGAGACAACGATCGGCGAACAACTATATAATTATACAATATTAATACTGTCTATATTCTACTGGGACGCTTAATGTTATATAGCCAGTATTTTGTTGACATTCATTGTGGGGTGGGATTGTGGATGGCGCCCTAGCTTCTAGATCCGCTCTGCACATGGCCCCTAGAAAACTCGCACCTGTGGTGCGCGTCTCCTGACTGCGTCACTCGTACTAGGGGTATGTGCATCAGTCGGTCGCATTTTGGCTAAACACCCCCCCCCCCCCCTTAACAAAATCCTGCCAAAAATACTTAACGAAGGGACTGTTGGCGGCTATAAATACTTTCAAGTTTGGAGTGTGTGGAGAAAAAATTCTACACGTTCACGAAGTAAAAATTCTGTAAGATATTTTTAGACATTGATAATCAAAGTGTTGAGGGTAAGTTAAAAGTTTCCTTCAGATATTTTTATAAGTCTACAATTATTTTGTACATATCGAATTGTAGAGGGTAAGTTGAATTTTTCTTCTGATACTTTTGATAAACTTTTGTAGCCTATAATTACTGTGTGCATATCTTTCAGGTGACAGAGTATACACAGTGCCGGACTGGACCCACCTGTCCACCTGTCCGTGACAGGTGGGCCTAAGCTCATTAAAAAAGGTGTGCCTAAGCCTATAAAGAAAAAAGAGAAAGAAAAAAAAGGAAAAAAGAAAAGAGAAAGAAATGAGAGGGGGAGGAGAGAAAAGAAAGAAGGAAGGAAGGAAGGAGAGGGCAGGACAGGACACAGGCTGTGTCCTGTCCTCTCCTTCCTTCTTTCCTAATGATAGTGCGCATAGGTCATTCTGTTATCTAATTGTATCAGGAAATAAAAAATTTGCCTTCTTCTGCTTTGGTCTGAAATGCTTGGAACATTGGTTTGCGGTTGTCAATTTTCAAAATTTTCCTGGGGGGAGACCCCCCACACCCTGCGACGCTTGCGCGCTCCTTCAGCGCGTACTTGTGTGGGCCTTGGTCATTGATCTAACAGGTGGCCCTTCGGCCCACCAGTCCGGCACTGAGTATACACAGGAACAAAAGTGATTAGCTACATGAAAGAGGGTCGAGTTCCAGCAATTCAACTGATTATGCAAACAAATACGAATTAAGAGTCCGTTCTAAATATAAGTACACCTGTTTCGGAGCTGAATGCAACTAACTGTACCATAAACATTTGTAATTGTCAAGGGAATAAAAAAGCGATTTCTGTGTTCTTTGTAATAGAGGTTGATATAAAGAGGTTGATATGAACCGAATATATCAACCTATATGATGACGTCATGATATGTTGATGTGAGATATAACTTGTATGCACATCAAAAATAAAACTACCGCCAGCTGTATATAAATATATTATCATTATATATTCAGGGCCGGCGGAAGGAATTCTTGATTAAGGGGTGAGGGATACCGTCCTAGGACTTTAGGCGAAAGTCCAGGGGCGACTCATATAGGTTCCCTATACTTGCGATTTTCCATTGTCCGAGTCGCACATTTTGATTGGCTTTTGTACACGACATAAAGTTAACCTCGCCTTCGAAGCCGAACTTCTTCCGTTTTAAAATTGTCGAGCATAGCCAGCTTTTAACGCTTCGATTTAAATGAACTAATTTGTACCCGTGTCAGGTACCATTTCTTATCTCGAGACACACGAGAGATGTATTTTCTTATCTAGGGCCTCTACCTACACACCAACTTACAGGAATAAAATTGTAAATGGTCGGTAAAATTAAACATACATACTTATTTATTGTATATTTTAGTATAGTATGTATTTATGGACAGAGACCAACAGGACAGCACCAAGTCATATCAGTCGATCGGGATGAAAACCCGAGGTAGCGTGTACACATTGGCGTACTCGTAAAAGCACCTTTACAGTTTGAATTCGCTCTCTAGGCATAATTGCCCTCTTAACCGAGTGTATATCGTATGACCGTCTTCATTAGCCCTTTTGGTGCTTAAAAGTAGGACGCTTAACCCCCATTTCATTTCCAGTTCAAACTAGCGTATTGATGACTTGTATGATTTAATGACAAAAAATGTTCATTGGTTAAATGACGCGGTTCATAACGAACAGTTGCCAAATTTTAATGAACTTAAACTTGCATAGCGTGTTACAAGACGACATGGATATGGGGAAGAGTGGAGGTTGCGTTTAGCCTGGGGTATACAATTTAAAACGTTCTGATAAATTACAGATGACAGCGGTTGTTGAGGCATTAAATGTGTTAAATGCCTCAACAAGTCCTGTCCTATATAATTTATCAGAACTTCTTAATTTAAGTTTGAAATTCTGCTTCTTACGTACAAATTGTGTACGTAAGAAGCAGAATTTTCAACTTAATTCTGAATTTGTAGCGGGTGAAATAATATGGCACGTCAACATTTTTTACTA